GACGACTACACGCGCTACACCACGGTGTTTCCCCTGGAGCGGAAGGCCGACGTGCCCGACGTTCTTCTCCCGTGGGTTGTGGCTGCGCGTCTCCACCGCGGTCTCCCCGTGTTGTGTCTCCACTCCGACCGTGGCGGCGAGTTCGCCTCTGGTCGGCTTGGACAGTTCTGTCGTGCGGAGGGCATCACCCAGTCGTACACGTTGCCGGACTCGCCACAGCAGAATGGGGTTGCTGAGCGCCGCATCGGCTTGGTCATGGAGGTCGCCCGTACCTCCATGATCCATGCCGATGCCCCCCATTTTCTGTGGCCGTTCGCTGTTCGCTACGCGGCTCACCAGCTTAACCTGTGGCCACGCTCCCAGCGGCCGCAGGTTTCGCCGACCCTCCTTTGGACCGGGTCCCCCGGTGACGCGTCTGCGTTCCACGTCTGGGGCTGCCTTGCTCACGTTCGTGCCTCTGGCACGGACAAGCTCACTGCCCGCACTGTCCCCTGTGTCTTCCTCGGTTTCCCCCTGGACTCGTCTGACTGGCTTTTCTACCACCCGCCGTCTCACCGCTTCCTCCACTCTCGTGACGTCACCTTTGATGAGTCCGTCTCCTTCTACCGCCGCTTCCCTCACCGAGGTCTCCCAGTTGCCCCCCCCTTTTCCTTGCTCCCTCTCCCCCGGTAGCCCCTGCCCCTCTCCCGCCTCGTCCTGCCCCGTCTGGTGTCTCCCACGTCACTCCCCTCCCGTCGGTTGTCCCCGTTGAGGAGTCTGCTGACTCTGGTGGTACCCCCGGTCCGTCCTTGCCGCGTCCCCCTTCCCCGGTGCCTCCGCCCCCACTGTCGCAGTCGCCGACCCCGCTGCCGCCGCCGTCGCCGTCGCCGCCGCAGCCGTCGCCGCTGTCGTCGCCGCCGCCGCCGCTGTCGCTGCCGCAGCCGTCGCCGCTGTCGCCGCCGCCGCAGCCGTTGCCGCCACTGCCGCCGCTGCTCTCGGCCCCTGGGGGTGCTGGTGTGGAGGAGGGTGTTCGTCCTGCGGCTTCTGGGGGTGCCGCTGGTGTTGGAGGGGGTTCTCGCTCTGGGGGTGTTGGTTCTGGGGGTGCTGCTGTTGAGTGTTCTGCCGACGGTCGTTCTGCCTCTGCTGGTCCGAGAGTTCCGGCCCAGCCGTCGTCGCCGCCGCAGCAGCCGTCGCCGCCGGTTTCCGCTCTCCGCCTGCTCGGCCTTCCCTCCCCGGACCGCGCGCCGGTGTCTCCCCCACCGCCTCCTGACCTCCCTGTCTACGGTCCTGTGTTCCCGCCGCCAGACTCGTCTCCGGCCCGTCTTCCTCCTCGTTCCCCTCCTGTGTCTCCTCCGCTGTCCCCTGACCCTACCCCTCCGTCTCACGTTTGGGCTCGCCGTCCCTCCCGTGCTCGTCCCGTCTCTCCTGTCCTGCCCACCCACCCTATGTTGCTCCGTTCCCACTCGTCTCGTCCTCCCCTCCTCCCGTCCCCTCCTCCCTCGTCCCTTGCTGTTGCACCTCCTCCGTTCTCTGACTACCTCCGTGCTGCTCGTCCCCTTGTCCCTCGGGTCCTTGCCTCTCTTGTTACCGACCCTGCTGTTCCTGTCTCGCGCCTTGACGCGCTTGTCGCTGCTGTCGCTGACTTCGCTTCTACCCGCCGCCTTGACTACGCTACCGCTCTGGTCTCTGACCCTGCCCGTCCTCTGTCCGTCGGGGGTGCTCCTGCCCTTGGCAGTGACGTCCTAGAGGACAGGCAGTACGAGCTGGCTTTCCTTTCCGAGGCTGCTCCCCATCTCTGCTCCATGCTGTTAGTCCCTGAGGGTGACCCAGACGCCTTCGACATCCCGACCCCTCGCACCTACGCTGAGGCCACCTCGGGACCTTGGGCCTCTCAGTGGATAGCTGCCATGGAGCAGGAGATGGCATCTTGGAGATCCACCGGCACTTACGTCGACGCAGTTCCCCCGCCTGGGGTGAACGTAGTCGATGGTCGGTGGCTCTTCAAGGTGAAGCGCCCCCCTGGAGAGCCGCCTGTCTTCAAGGCGCGCTACGTGGCCAGAGGTTTCAGTCAGCGCGAGGGGGTTGACTTCTTCCAGACCTTCGCCCCGACCCCGAAGATGACCACTCTTCGGGCGCTGCTACACGTAGCAGCACAGCGTGACTACGAGCTTCACTCCCTCGACTTCTCTACTGCCTTTCTTCAGGGCAGCCTACACGAGCAGGTCTACCTGCGCCGACCACAGGGCTTCACTGGTACCTTCCCTCCTGGGACCCAGTGGCTTCTCAGGCGCCCGGTCTACGGCCTGCGTCAGGCTCCCCGCGAGTGGCACGACACGCTACGTGCCACGTTAGCAGACCTGCAGTTCTTTCCGTCCTCTGCTGACCCTTCACTGTTTGTGCGTTCCGGCCAGACTCCGTTCTACATCCTTGTCTACGTAGACGACCTGGTCTTCGCTACTCCTGACAGGGACGCACTGGCCTCTGTGAAGGCTGAGCTGCTGAAGAGACACACCTGCACTGACCTTGGAGAGCTGCGTCGCTATCTTGGCCTGCAGATCTCTAGGGACAGAGCAGCACGCACCATCACTCTGACCCAGTCACACTTGGTGCGTCAGGTCCTTCAGAGGTTCGGTCTTCAGTTCTCCTCCGCACAGCCCACACCTCTACCCGTAGACCATGGGCTCTCTGCTCCCGTTCCTGAGGAGCCAGTAGAGCCCAGTGGCCCCTACGCAGAGCTGGTGGGTTGCCTCATGTACCTGATGACTTGCACTCGCCCAGATCTCGCATACCCTCTCAGCATCCTGGCTCGCTTTGTGGCTACAGGCAGACACCGACCTCAGCACTGGTCTGCCGCTAAGAGGGTTTTGCGTTATCTTGCTAGTACATCAGGCATGGGGTTAGTGCTAGGAGGACGCAGGCCAGTGGTCCTTACTGGGCACACAGACGCTTCTTGGGCAGACGACGCTGAGACGCTCAGGTCGTCGCAGGGCTACTGTTTCAGCCTTGGTTCGGGTGCTATCTCTTGGAGATCCACTCGCTCGTCGTCTGTGGCTCAGTCTAGCTGTGAGGCTGAGATCTACGCTGGTGCCATGGCGGCACAGGAGCTCCGCTGGCTGACCTTCTTGCTCACAGACTTAGGTGAGCGGCCTAGCTCTGCCCCGGTCCTGTACGCTGACAACAGGGCCATGATACTCCTGTGTCAGGAGCCTCGGCTTGAGGGCAGAGCGAAGCATATCCAGCTGCGGTACTTCCTCCTGCGCGAGCTACAGCAGCGCCGCCAGGCCCGCGTAGTTCACTTGGCCTCAGGTGCCAACACAGCTGATATCTTTACTAAGGCGCTTGCGCCTAAAGATCATCAGCGGCACTGTGTACAGCTTGGTCTTGTTCCTATAGCTGCTCCCCTGTTAGGATCCTGATTGTGTACTCTCTATTATATATGCTTGTCAGACTGGCCTTGTGGCCTTACCTCCAGTGGCTGGACTAGTAGTGCCACCCTGGCTTGCTTCAGTTTTGGTTGTATTCTTGCTGACTGGTCTCCAGACCCCTGCCTCAGTGGTTGGACTAGTAGTGCCGCCCTGAGCTGTTTGCTTCTTGTTTAGTTTCACCCCTTGTCTAGCCTAGGGGGTGTGTCAACTTATACATATTATCTATGTAGAAGTTATAGGCTAGACTGAGGTATGCTTCTAGTGAGTACAACCAACTAGTATTTGTTCTAGGTTTCCACCTCTAGTAATCATTCGTTTCTACGTTAACATTCTGATATGGTATCACGCGTAGGTAGGATCCCCCCCCCCCACCTACCGCTTCCGCTCATGCCCCCTAGCGCCCCTCCTGGGCCCCGTCGCGCTCCTCCCAGGCCCCGTCGCGCTCCTCCCAGGCCCCCTAGCGCCCCTCCTGGGCCCTGCCGCGCTCCTCCCTGGGCCCCTTAGCGCCCCTCCTGGGCCCTGCCGCGCTCCTCCCTGGGCCCCGTAGCGCCCCTGGGCCCCGTCGCGCCCCTCCTGGGCCCCCGTCGCGCCCCTCCAGGGCCCTGTAGTGCCCCTCCTGGGCCCCGTCCCACCTGCTCGGCCCCGTCGCAGCCGCACGGCCCCGTGGCGCCCGCCCGGCCCCTGTCGCAGCCGCCCGGCCCCTGTCGCCCGCCCGGCCCCGTCGCCCTCGCCCGGCCCTGCTGTGTCCTGCCCGGCCCCGTCGCAGCCGCCCGGCCTCGTCGCTGCCACCCGGCCCCGTCGCAGTCGCCCGGCCCCGTCGCAGCCGCCCGGCCCCGTCGCAGCCGCCCGGCCTCGTCGCTGCCGCCCGGCCCAGTCGCAGCCGGCCGGCCCCGCGTCGCGCCTGCCCGGCCCCGTCGCGCCTGCCCGGCCCCGTCGCGCCTGCCCGGCCCCGTCGTGCCTGCCCGGCCCCGTCGCGCCTTCCCGGCCCCGTCGCGCCTGCCCGGGCCCGTCGAGCCTGCCCCGGCCCTACATACTTCCTGGTACTGTCCCCCTTTCCCCGCACCGCTTTGCACCCTCCTGCACTTCCCTGCCCCGCCTTGCACCGCATTGCACCTCACTGGACCGCCCTGCACCGCACTGCACCGCACTGGACCGCACTGCGCCGCACTGCATCGCACTGGATCGCACTGCACCGCCCTGCACCGCACTGCACAGCCCTGCACCGCACTGCACAGCACTACACCGCACTCCACTGTCCTACACTGCCCCTGATGGCTGCTGAGCTTCGTTTTGATGCTGAGGGTCAGCCTCTGGAGTTCGAGGCGTGGTTGGCTGACCTCCGCCGCCACCTCACTGGTCAGCGGCAGGACGGCCACCCGCTTTCTGCCCACCTAGACGGTATGCTCCCCTGCCCTGACCCCCCTGCTGTGCTGCCCACTGATCCCACGCCCGCTGAGCGCGAGTCCACTGCCGCCACTGCCCTTGCCCGCTCTGTCTGGCTTTCCCGCGATGCCCTTGCTCAGCTCGCCATTAGCAATGCCCTCCCCCCCCTTGAGCGCCCTCGCTTTAGAACCATTACTACCGCCCAGGCCTACCTCGATGCTGTCATCAAGCGCTATTCTACCCCTCCTGCTGCCTCAGTGGGTCGCCTGATCCTCCCCCTGCTCTTTCCTGACCTTGCGTCTTTCCCCACTGTCTCTGACCTCGCTGCCCACCTGCGCTCGATAGATGAGACCTGGCGCGCTGCCTGCACTGATGCACAGCTTAGAGTCCACCAGCCTCCCATGACCTCTACCCTCTACCTCCTTGCCACCCGCCTCCCTGACCGCCTTGCCGCCGCCCGCGACCAGTTCCTTAGCATCCACCCCGCTGCTCTCACCCTCACCGACTTTGTTGACACCCTGACTGTCATAGAGACTCGTCACCGCTCCATAGCCCAGGCGAGCGGTACAGTACCGGTCCCTATCTTTCAGGGTTGTGCCCCCGCTCAGTGTACCTTCTCCGACGGCTCTGTCGCTGTGGCTGAGACTGCTGCTGCAGTGCAGTCCCGCTCGGGGAAGGGCCGCCGCCCCAAGGTTGGGAGCGGCGGATGCGGCGGGGGTGCGGGTGGGGGCAGTGGTGGAGTCGGGTCGTCCGGTGCCGGTGTGGACGTGGGGACCCTAAAAAAAAAAAAAAAAAAAAAACCTTTTGCAAGGCGTTGATGAAAGAGAGAGAGAGAGAGAGAGAGAGAGAGAGAGAGAGAGAGAGAGAGAGAGAGAGAGAGAGAGAGAGAGCATAAGATAAAGAGAGAGAGACTAGAGAAAGAGAGAGAGAGAGAGAGAGAGAGAGAGAGAGAGAGAGAGAGAGAGAGAGAGAGAGAGAGAGAGAGAGAGAAAGTGGATAAGAGAGAGAGGGAGAGCATAAGAAAACGCAAGTGAAGGAGCATAAGAGAACGAGAGAGAGAGAGAGAGAGAGAGAGAGAGAGAGAGAGAGAGAGAGAGAGAGAGAGAGAGAGAGAGAGAGAGAGAGAAAGTGAGAGAGAGAAAGAGAGAGAGAGAGAGAGAGAGAGAGAGAGAGAGAGAGAGAGAGAGAGAGAGAGAGAGAGAGAGAGAGAGAGAGAGAAAGAGAGAGAGAGAGAGAGAGAGAGAGAGAGAGAGAGAGAGAGAGAGAGAGAGAGAGAGAGAGAGAGAGAGAGAGAGAGGGACGAAGGCTCGAGCGCTGAAGGGAGAAGGCATGAATATCAGCCATGCCCCATTTGCAATTGAACATGAGCCACTCTTGCTTTGCCAGCTGAATGGGAGCTATGCCCCCCCTTGGAATTGACTATGACACATCCACCCTTTAGGCAAATTGTCTGGTCCGCTCACTTGGGTACCTATGTGATTCTTGCCACCTGACCCTTTGGTCCAGCAGAAATCGGGAAAGGATGGTTACGCAACGAACATGACCCCTACGAGTACGCGGTTACAGACAAGGACGTAACTGTCATGCATAGTCGATTGCGCCATGCCCTACACTGGTGGTGCTCATGGTGCGGTAGCAGTTTCATCTTGTCCATCATCGCAAAAGGATATTGGCTTCCCTGGAAGGAAGCCGTGCCACATGCCTTTGAGGATAGCAATCATGCCAGAGTTCGCACACACCTGGACTTCACTCGTGGAGTGATTCGCGGCCTCGTCACCTCGGGTGCCGCCGTCAAGGTCCCTACGAAGAACGCGCTCATGTGTGTCAGTCCACTTAACGTGGTAGAGCAGCGCGACAAGTGTCGCCTCATTCTTGACTTGCGCAAAGTCAACAACTACCTCGACATCCCCAAGTTCAAGTATGAAGGCTTGAACAGGGTAGCCGAACTCATCCGCTCAGGCGATTGGATGTTCTCCATCCACCTAAAGTCAGGCAACCACCATGTCGAGATCCACCCCTCCTGCTGGAAGTTCTTGGGATTCCAGTTTGAAGGAGACTACTATTCCTTCATATCGTTCCCATTCGGGCTTGCCACTGCCCCGTTCGTCTTCACAAAACTGATCAAACAACTGGCAAAGCGATGGCGGGCAAGCGGCGTGCGGGTTGTTCCATATGTCGACGACTTATTATTCCTCTGCAACTTCCACTCGGATGCACGCTCGACCTGTGCAGCTGTTGTTCAGGACCTGAAGGCAGCAGGTTTTGTTATAAACGGCAAAAAGTCACATCTACACCCCTCGCGCCAGATAGCTTTTCTCGGCCTGGAGATTGATGCCGCCCAAGGCACCTTCTCCGTCGGACTCGAACGTCGAGCACAACTTTTTGCTTCACTCCAAGCCCTCATCACCCAAGGACAAGAGGAATGACCGGTTCCTATCCGGTCCCTTGCGAGAATCACAGGAATGCTGGCCTCCATGAATCGGGCATTGGGCGCTACGGCACGTGCCTTTAGTCACGAGCTCCTTCAACTTATTGCCGACGCCACCTCTTGGCACGCCAAGGCACACTTGTCGTCGACAGCAGTGCAGGAGCTGCATTTTTTGCTTGCGCAGTTCGACAAGTTCAATGGAACCCCATTCCATCTCAGTCACTAGTTCGATGCCGTCATCCACGTCGATGCAAGCGCACACAGCTGGGGCGCCACCCTGACTCAACTTCCCGGGATGCCCATTGAAGCTAGTGCTCGCATGCCCGAGGAACTACTGCCCACCTCCAGCACTCGACGGGAACTCGAAGGAGTCTTATGGGCTCTCCAAACTTTCGCCGCCCGCATACCCAAGCACCACGTGCTCATTCGGGTAGACAATCAAGGCGTGGTATTCATCCTACGCAAAGGTGGATCACGCCACCCCACGCTTACGCTACTATATCAAGCAATCATTCGCCTCTGCCTGGAACACCAGACAAGGCTAGCTGTCGAATGGATCCCGCGAGAACTGAATGCGCATGCCGACGAACTTTCAAAAATCCAAGACCACGATGACTACTCCCTCCAAGCCCCGTGGTTCCGGCTCTTGGATCGCCGTCTGGGTCCCCACTCTATCGATTTCTTCGCGAATGTGCACAACGCTCAGCTGAAGAGGTTTTGCTCCAAGATTCCACACCCTACGGCCGCAGTGTTTGACGTTTTTTCGTTCAGCTGGGAGCACGAGTGCGGCTTTGCATTTTCCCTTCCCAACCTCATTCCAGCCACATTACGGCACGCTAAACGCACACACGCTGAGGTGACCTTGGTCATTCCCAAGTGGTCGGGAGCATCATGGTGGCCACTCCTCTAACAGGCACCTGACGCCTGGGTGCCAGAAGTAACGGCACACATTCCCCTCACCCACGGCAGCCAATGCCTACGCCCCGGCACACACGCACTCGCTTTCGCAGGGCAAGGCTTTCCTTCTAGTCAGATGATTGCACTGCATGTCACGTATAAAAATTAATAATAATTGTACTCTACGCTGTACCTTTTCAGGCATTATAACGAAGTTGCAAACGCAACTACTACACGTAATCACCCATGTTAGTGTCCCTTCCACCATCCGCAAGTATAAGCCCCACTGGCTCAAATTTCGCTCCTTCTGCATGAAGGTGAAGCTGAGCTACTTGCCTGCAACGGATATGACCTTGGCACTCTACCTCATTCATGCACTAAATCATCAGGCCACCACATCCTCCATATCGCTTACATGCTCCGCCGTCGCCTTCGCGCATCGCATGACTGGCGAGCCCTCTCCCTCGACTGGACCATTTACATTACAAGTGCGCGAATTTGCCAAACGCCATGGCCCGTGCCCCATCCGGAACAAGGAACCTTTGTCGCTGCACCAAGTGCACACCATGGCTCGCCCTTCTCTGGAGTCCACCCGGACGGCCGAGTACCAGAAAGGACTCATCCCTATCCTTATGTTCACCGCCGTCCTACGTTACTCTGACCTTGTCAGCCTCCAATGGCATGATATGCAGTTTGAGCCTGAGGCGATGTGGCTGCTCATCCCGCACTCCAAGACCGACCAGGAAAGCAGGGGCACGTGGATCCCGGTCGCCGCCACTTCCGGCCCATACTGCCCGGTTCGCTGCACACGACACTTTCTTCTCCTCGCGGGTCACACCTCCACCCCACACGGGCCATTGATCCGAGTCTTCGGGAACAGCAGCACGGCAACTCCACAGGACCACACACCTTCGTACACCACCATCCGGAACTGGTGCCTTGAAGCATTCACTAGGGCCGGCCTCGATAGCGCCCACCTCGGCACCCACTCCTTTCGCAAGGGCACTGCTACAGCGGCAGCCAGCCTGGGGATATCCGACCGGCTGTTCAAGTGACTTGGCCGTTGGCGCAGCGATAATGCCAAGGAGCTCTACGTTACCATCGCGCATGACCAACTCCTTCAAGCCTCCATGCAACTCCAAAACGCAGCCGCCGCTCCCACGCCTAATCAGCACCAGCTATCTATTGAACGCCACCGCCAACCCCTTCTGCACATGTCTCAGAAGACCCAGATGAAATGAAGCACGCTGCCTTTACAAGAGGACATAAACAAGCTTTCACTGTTGAAAGTACATCAAACGACGCGTTTCTGAAGTGTAACACTACACTCGAGGAAGATTGCAAGGGGTACGCGAGTCAACGGAGGTTACACGAGGGGGCGGACAAAGAACACGAAGGGTTTGGGACTCAAAGGGTCGCAACTGGAGGTTGCGACTGACCGTTACAACAGCACGGATGGTAACCGAAGCGACAATCGAGTCGCTGTACGACTCGATAAACCGCTACTGCAACTGTACTCTACAACTGTTTCTTATCTTCTATATATTGCTGTATGTTTGCCTTCTTTTATCAATCACTTGTTCTCACATACTAGTACAAGGGTTCAACTGCCTCAACTTCCGCTGCACTACTCCAAGTCTCAAGTCTTTACAGCTGGGACTTAGTCTCTGGAAAGATTCCAAGGGCTTTTCTCAGCCCAACATGGTATGAGAGCTGGTCAGAGACCAAACTCCCAGCAACTACGTTCTATCACCAACCTGCAACTCAACTCAATTCAACGACTTCATTGATTACAAGACATGGACAGCAAGGGCAAGAAAGTCTCTACGGGCTCACCCAGCGGCCAAGAAACTCAACACGGCAACTCTGGTCTGCACACCTCAGGACTGCAGACAGAGACCGGGACTGCTCAAGAAACAACGGGAAGAGTACCAGAGATGGTTACTCCATCTCCCTCTTCAAGCGTGGACCCCAACCTTATGGAAAGGTTCTTCAGCTTCATGTCGCACTTCGACCAGCAGCAGCAGACAAGGACACCTGCGCATTCAACACAGAGCAATGGAGGAAACATGGGATTAGCGCCGATGAGCCTCGACAACTCATCCTTCGGGCGACACAACCAAGCGCCTACCTTTGCGCCTTATCATTCTTCACCGGGGACGTTCGAGTTCATGCCGCCCCGCGCCCAACCAACAGCAGCTGCATCACAACAAACACCAAACGAGATTCTCAGTCTTCAGGCTCAATTCTCACACGTCATTAAGTTACAAACATCCTCACCTTTCAACGGACACGACTTCTTTACCTGGAGCTTCGAGTTCGAGCTGCTGATGGAGGCCGCGCATCTTCTGGGATACTTCAACGGGTCCCTGCCATTTCCAAGCAACGGCACTGGAAAGGAGCAAGAGATCTTCACGTATCAGTCGCTGCTGGCGTATACAGTCCTCCTGCGGAACCTGTCACCACAAGAACAGCAGAGTATCAGAACATATCGGAGTTATGGGAACTCCGCGGAACTCGCATGGCATCATCTCAAGTGCCTTTATCAAGCAAACGACAGTGTGACGCAAAGTAGACTCATGCAACAACTGACAACAATACAGATGAAGACCGGGGAAAAGGCAATGCAATATATGAGTCGATGCCAGACTCTCCGCGACCGCCTGCTTCGGTGCGGAGGAACAATCACTGAAGAAAGCTTCGTGACACTTGTCCTCGCCGGGCTCGGGCCAGAATGGAGAACCACACGATCACTTCTTCGCGCCCACGGAAGAATTTCGGAGATGCACCTCTGCGCCGAGCTTCACGCTGAACAACAGGAGATGGACCTGTTCGAAGAAAGGCAACCAAGGAAGCAGCAGCAGTTAGTCTTCTACACTCAACGAAGAAACGACAACACCTACAATCGACGCGGCAAGCAAGAGCGCGACAACAGAGGAACTACCTTCGTGCCGCCGTTCTGCCACAACTGTCAGACTTCCGGGCACTCCAAGGTCAACTGCAACCGCCCTCGCGTTTACCGCCCAGTAGACCCACAAGTCGCCTCCACCCAAGAAAGTTCTCCAAGGCGCTCCTCGACATCTGCACAAGGGACACCAAATATTATTAACTGCATGGTACATATCGACAACTGCGCACCCGGATCACCACCCACTTACGCGCCAGACGAAGAAGAGTTCCCACCACCGCGCTCACAAGGTCTTCAAGTCAATCCAACATATGCTGCGGTCGCCAACGCCGAACCCACCGGGCGAAACACTTGGTTCTTGGACAGCTGCTGCGGTCAACACATGTGCTCCTCGGGACGCTTCGTGCAACAGGAGAAACGGCTCAACCGCGACGTCGTCATCACCGTCGCCAACAACGAAAACCTAAAGACAAACAGACAAGGCGTGGTTCAGTTACAATCCATGGAGACAAACGTAATACTTCAACTCAGTTACTGCCCGACGACAGAAATGGCCGCAGACTATTTGACGAAGAAATTGGCAAAAGCAAAATTCGACTACTGCATGTTGCTGACCGGACAAACAAACGTTATCGGACCTGAACAAGTCAGCACTCCAGAAACGAAGGGGAGTGTTGAAAGTACATCAAAAGACTTAAGCGTTTCTGAAGTGTAACACTACACTCGAGGAAGATTGCAAGGGGTACGCGAGTCAACGGAGGTTACACGAGGGGGCGGACAAAGAACACGAAGGGTTTGGGACTCAAAGGGTCGCAACTGGAGGTTGCGACTGACCGTTACAACAGCACGGATGGTAACCGAAGCGACAATCGAGTCGCTGTACGACTCGATAAACCGCTACTGCAACTGTACTCTACAACTGTTTCTTATCTTCTATATATTGCTGTATGTTTGCCTTCTTTTATCAATCACTTGTTCTCACATACTAGTACAAGGGTTCAACTGCCTCAACTTCCGCTGCACTATTCCAAGTCTCAAGTCTTTACAGCTGGGACTTAGTCTCTGGAAAGATTCCAAGGGTTTTTCTCAGCCCAATATTCACAATATGTATTTTTTTTAAATGTGTAACACTTTCTAAAAATGTGTATTGTGAGAGTGTAGCGAGAGCCAACGCAGCAAAGGCAGCGTCGAAGCGCTACTCACCCTCTTTTGCCTACAAAAGAGGGACATGAGGCCATTCGGCCTCACCCACGTTCTTCATTTCTAGTGTTCAATTTCCCCGCCCACCCACCCTCTTGTGTGTAGTTCTTTGTTGGACGAGAACCATGTATGTTTCCCAGATGAAATGAAGCACGCTGCCTTAACTGTTGTGGTAAATGAAGTTTTGCATTCCTGCAAGTTCCGTTTTTGGTGTAGTTAGCAGTATCGAGTTTCTCGGTAAGGAAACAGGTCCGAGTGCTGATGTCAGCAAAGCATCGCGCGTCTAGTGATGATGTCAGCATACAGCTTCAGTTACGCGATTAGGCGTAACGAGTCGTTTCAGTCACGCGAACAGTCGCGACTCTTTAGTATGACGAATAGGTCGCATAGCGCGCAACTAGCCGAACAGGTATTTTCCCTAGAGCTATAAATCCTTGTAATGCCTTTCTATTATTAAAACCTTGACTTTCCACAGAATTATGTGCTCAGGTTATTCAACCTTCGACTACCCACAAGTTCATGTGCTCAAGTTCACTCTTATAAGACTTCCGCTGTCTTACTAGTCTACCATTCAAGCAAAGATCCTTGGTTAAGTACTCGTGGTTGCAGATTCTGTACTTAGTCTCCTGCACCACCTGTCAAATTATTACATTAACAAGAGGACCTAAGCAAGCTGTCACGATCCGTGTAAGTACCAGCTCAGGCTCAGAGCTAAGTTTCTGGGTATGCTGTTACTAAGAGCAGTCTCTGTTCAGGCTACAGCCTCTAGGTTTTCCTCAATAATTACACACGTACAATTTCAAGAGCCGACATCTGCCAGTCCAAGCCAAACTCATGTCCTGTACACTCATTCGAAACTGTAGAATGTGAAAATGCTAGAACTGCGCATTTACACCTGCTGCCTGATCAAAGCCCCTTTCATCTTGGGGAAAGGCAACAACATCATCTGGTGGAAAGAGCGCTTTCAATAAGCCAGGAGTCTTCAGCAGCTGCCGTCCAGATATCCTCGGGTAAACATCTACCAAGAAATAGTAAACATGACCTGCCGCCATTCCCTGGAAAACAACAAGCAGGTGACACAAACAAAATGGCAGTTGTGAGTAATGAAAGCATTCCGAAACGGCTTCCAAGCCAGCCACTCAAACTCACCAGAAGATCCACCACAGGGCTACTTCCAAGAAGAACCGAAAATCCCAAGAGGACCTGCCAGACAAGCAAAGCACAACAAATGCATGAGAAAGGGAAATCAGAAGAAACAGCCAAGCATTATCTGTCTCGAATAGGTGACGCATACCCAAGGAAGGTAAGGCGCTGTGAAGTTGAACAAGCCAAGAAAGCTCATCTGGATATTAGGGTTGCGCCGACCCCAGACGTAGACCTGCACAAGAATTAACTGAGAATGAGCATGTGTCGTAGCGAAGCAGAAAAAGGAAATCTGGAGCATACGGCCTGAAACGACAAGACAGGGATTCATCCGCGTACCATCATGAATGTCAGTGACGAACCGAGAAACTGGATGTTTACAAAAGGAGCGACCATTGTTAACAAGACTCCGCCGAAAAGCAGCATGAAGAAGAAGTCAGCGGTCCGGCCACGGAACGATGTCTCCTCAAGCAGTTTACAATATCGGCAGAGGAAGAACATGTGGAATACGAAGTCGATGCCTGCAATGAAAACCGAGGCATGCTTAACGAGATGACAAGCCAGTATTCAGTAACTTTGAAATGAAAGACAGTACCCACCAATACTCCCAAAGAAGAAGAAGTTTGTAAATAGCCGCCATAGCTGAAACTTTTTAAAGATCAAGTTCGAGTTGAAGTACACAGAAAACGGCGAAATAACCTGCAGCGAGGTTGCGGACAAAGCTTTAGAACCCTAAAAAAGGAAACCTGACCACTAAAAAACAAAACCACTCTAGGGAAGCCGTACTTCGAGAGCGCAACCCGCAGTTGTCAAGAACGAGAGTGTCAGGTAAGACCTGGTTATTATCGGCATCTGCTTGTACCAATCTTCGAGTGTCTGCGCCATGGTCGCAGCTACTCCACGAGCAGATGCAACGACTATTCCACCTAGGCCAAACTGACAGAGGTTCAGAAGGGTAGGGAGAAGATTTCAGCTGCTGGTGTCCACACAAGGCAGAGGCAGGCTGGTTGCTCAAGCACAACGGAAACAGTTGGCACGAAGGTCCAGCGCTAAGAACGCGTTGTCAGCTGGGAAGTTCGCGAAGGGGAATACTCTACTGGTGAACACGCAGGATTTCGACTGACTGACCAATCAGTCCCCTCACCTACCAGTTAGACCAATCAACGTACGCCTGGCCAAATCTTTGATACAGAGGCACAACGACTCGCCACAAGTTCTGTAAACATTGATTAGTACAACAGCATAGGTTAGGACTAATACGTTTGAGCCGATTCCGCATACAAAGGCACGAGGTGCACTTGCTCGCTTACATCTCAGTACTGCCTCGTGTTACTAGAACCGTTGCACCTGACTAAAGTCAACCAACCATAACTTTATCACACGCCTGAAGTGCTTGATTAGCAAAGTAGCGGACATCTGGATCAGGATCCTCGTTCAGCTCCAGCAGGCATGGTCGAATGGTTTGCTCCACAACCTGCAAGACAAGTGAACGGCATAAGCAACAGCGAAGTCTCCACGTTGCACAAGGAGAAACACCATCGCAAGCTGACAAAGAAGTGAAGCAGACACTTACCGATGGCTCGACTATTGGGATGAATGACTGAAGCATCTTGGCAACATTGAAACGGATGTTTGGCACGCTGTGAACACGGCGCATGCAGGCACATTAGTGTTGGCACACTTGAGATTTCTCGACACAGACAAAAACACATTTGCTTACCGATCCTTGGCAGCATTCAGGATAACAGGAAGCATTGTATTACAAGTTGCCTCAGCACCAAGCACCGGGGCCAACATGGAGAGGGAGAGCAGAACTGTCATCCGATACAGGTAGTGAGGGTTGTTCACCTTATCCATGATCTGCAGGACACCACAGATGCACTTTAGAACAGGAGGTAACACAACATACGGAGTGCTTTGACAAGACACCCACCATCGGAAGAATTTGTGATTGGGCCCATTCCGCACCAAACTCTTCTGCTAAACGTTTCAGGTTCGTGGCAGCTGCTTCACGTATTGAGTACACCTGAGTTAGGGACATATGAAAAGTATGACAAACATAAGCAACCTTTTGAGACCAAGGACGCAGATGAATGGCTCTTGGAGCAAAAACAAAAGTGTTCACTTACCTGGTCTTCAAGCCATTGCATGCACAATGACTTCAACTTCTCATCAAAGAACTCCATTCCAAGTTGGCCAGCCAAAAGAGGGATGTACTCAATGATGGCAAGCCGCACTCGCCAGTGTCTGTCCTCTGACAATTCCACAATGGCTGGAAGAAGGGACTGTGACAAGAGGTCCATTCCAATGACTTGATTGACTTGATCCAGCTTGCTGATAATGTTGAGCCGGACATCAGGGAACTCATCTTTCAGCAGAGCCAGGAAAATTGGTAGCAGCGTTTCAATAGTGAGTTCCTGCAGAACGTGGCAAGATTTTGTAAGCACATAAACCAATTTCCCAAACGTAAGGTACCCAACTGATGGAAGGAAACGCACCTTGCCAAGAAGTGGAGCCATTCCCATGATGACGGAGGCCAATGCAGACCGCACATGTTGAGAAGTATCTGTTGAAAGATCCTGAATGCGCAAGACGGGCTGAGTGTGAGTACGCAGACGACTGTGAGAATGCATGGCTTCACAAGGAGGCAACGTGACAGGGATCGCCCACCTTCACACATGGTAGAATGGCATTGAAAGCATCGGCATTCTTGACAATGGCACAAATTTTTGTTACTTTGCCAGCGGCAGCAATGCGAACCTCTGCCTCATTGTCCCTCAGTAGCTTCACATACGCAGGGACAAGCTCCGCCCTGCTTGAACAAAAACAACGGTTAGGAATATTGAATATTGACTAGGAGAGAAGGTAAACGCAAAAGGAAGGCGAAGCACCTTGCTACTTCGGGGCCAACGGCTTCACAAAGCTCGTGAAGCTGGTTCGCCACCATGTATCGCACCCGCCACGACTTATCCTGCCAAAACGACACCAAAGAGGAAGTTGTGCAGATACGCGACAATGAGCGGGGAGAAATAGTATTGAACAAAAGCCCGCAGTTGAAGGATGGGGGAAGTTTGAAGGGCGGAGGGAGACTAGAGAGGTGCAAGAACAACAATACGGGGAGACATACCTGGGCAAACGACAGAATCACAGGAAGGATGCTAGAGATGCAATCCTTCTTCTCCAGGAGCTTTCCAACAGCAGCACATCCTTCGACAGCCAAAAGCCTTACGGAGTCCTGGTCTGCGTTTCAGATTTGGAGTCGACATTAGCTTCTTACAGAAGTAAAGGCACCAGATTTTGAACACAATCGAACACTCCTTACCGTCATTTGTAAGATCTCTGAAAAACTCAAGAATGTCAAGCTTCAGGTACTGCGGCTCCACTGTGGCGGCAAACTTGCCCATGTTCAGAGCCGACGAGCGACGGACCATCGGCATGTCGTCATGACTAAGCTGGCCATAAAGAGTTCGGAGATCCGCTCTCTGCTGCTCGGTCGCGCTGGGATAAGCAATATGGAAAAGCCCACAAGCTGACACTCGAGCTGTAAACCATTCCCCTGCTCCAAGCCTCTGTCATCAGAATAAAAAGCGGAATAAGTAGTCTTACGAAACCCTCAACATTGCAGCCTTTAAATAGAAAAGAATGGCGAACGCGTGGCACCTGGACAAGAGGAACGAAGAACTCGACAACGTCCCGGGGCTTCATCTGCTGTCCAATCTTGCACAACGACTCAACGGCCTTATCCCGGACAACAGTCTCTTCCACCGTACACAACGTCTCTAGCGGAGGAAGCAGCACGGGAGCGTAATCGACACCACCGACGTACGGAATGAACGAACCAAGCTCCTCTGCCATAGCAAGTAGCACTTCATCGTCATCGTCATTGTTCTCATTCAAAAAGGGAATCAGCTCCTTCCTTGTCCGGTCCTCGCCAAGCGCTCGTGCGATGGTGCTAAGGCGCCTGATTGAGTTCAGTCGAAGCTGAATATCGTCGTTCTTTAGCTCGTCTATCAGAATGGCGATTGGATACAACGGCTCCTCAACAACGGCCATGTTTGTGGCCATGCGTGTGATATCAGGTAACGAGTAAAATACAAGCTTGAACTACGACTATACTGCCAAAATGTCGCTTGGGTTTGCTAGACCGTGACCTCCTGGTCGTCTGGATCTCTGGCAGATGCCTCCAACCAAACGACTAGGGTTTCGAAAGGGCGGAACAAACCTGGCAGGTCAAGGTGAGCGAGTGAGGGATGAGCGGAATATGGTGGGGGAGTTGGGGGGGCTGTCTGTCAGGTCGGGGCTGCTCCAGACGATGGGCTTCTTTCGAGCGTTATCCGAAATTGGCGCGAGAGAAATTTGGACTCTCGTTTGAAGAACGAGTTTAGAGGCACTATAGATCAGGTAGGGTGATTACAGCATATACAGCTCGTCGATGCTGCTTTGTCAAGTGCTGCTGTATCGTTATAGAAAAAAACATGTCATAACGAGGAAACCAGTGTTGGCAGAAGCTTGAGTTCTCCTCTCCAAATTTGGCAAGCTGGCAGCGCCAATGCCCAGACATATGTCTCGACCAATCACATAAGGGATTATGACCACATGTGCAGCACCACCAATATTTTCCACCCGTAAGGGCTCGCGAAATCACCCACATGGTCCACACAGCCAGACCGCCCATCACAGACGCGACAAAAAGCTGGCTGGGCTCATTGCGTCCACCACAGCCGTCGATAGAAAAGCCACTGTACGGTGGATGGGTCGCCATTTCCCAACCACAGGCAGCCTAGCCCACCAAATGCGGAAGAGACAGCAGGAGGGAGGACCACCACCACCACCTCTCCCACCTTGGGTTCTTGTTTGCTTCGGGCTTCTGCTCCATGCAGCTTGCCTGCAAGCCCAAGCCAAACAAAGGCCAAACAGAGCCCCACTCCACCTTCCTGCTCACCCTTTGGTTTCCTTTGTCTGCAGCAGCTCACCCTTCAAAGCAGACTCAACCAACACAGCACTACTATCTTCCACCATTTTCCCTAAAGCACGCTGGCATTCAGGCGTCTTTCTTGTTCAGCGACCTTATTGTCTGCTCGTCTCCATATCTAAGTGTCCAGTCTACTTGTGCATTACTTCGCTACATTACCGGTTTTCTCGCTGCCTGCTCTCAGAAAGCGAACCTGCCGTCTTAGACAGGAGCCATGGCGCGCTGTACCCATCGCGACCATCGGACAGCTATCGCGAGTCCGCCTTGTCGCGGCTAACCTTCTTGTCGCGCGAGAATAACGTCGAGCTGTCGCTTACCCTAACCTCACAGCCATTCCCTCACAGCCCTAACCTGGCAGAGGGCGCGCGAGAGAGAGCGAGGGAACCGCGTAGCATCCCCATAGCAGTCTCTATCTCGTAGGACGCCAATGGGAGGCTGTCTAAGCCGCCCGCACGCCGATGACGTCGTTTCCTCTAGTGCCAACGGGAGCAAGCGGCGAGAACCAGAGAGCCTTTCCGTGAAACTGAATCAGGGAGCCGCCGCAGAAGGCAAGGACATTTCGCACACGCCGACGCAGCGATCCAAGTCGCGAGAAGGGTCGGAGCACGGGCCGGTCCGAGCTGCGCGATCGCGAGACAACTCGGAGCACGGCTCGTCAAAAGTCAAGCCCGAGTTATTACCAGCGGACGCCGCGAACCCCACCAAGAAGGAAAACCCGGAGTACCTGCCCGGGTCGAGGCCGGGCAGCAACGACTGGGACCGGAATAACCAGCCGTTGGATCTGTCGGAAATCACGGGCCGGAGCACGGCCGACGATGACGGCGTTCCGGCGAAGGACAGTCTCAAGCAGATGATGCAGGAGGTGCGATCCAGCGACAATGCCCGCGTCGCAGCGATCGCAGGCGACGGCAGCATGGGGCTGGGGTTCCGGCCGCGCGGTGGTAACCCGATGTTCGCGCAGATGAATAGTAGCACGCACGGCGGCGCGGGGGGGGGGATGCCGGGCGCGACGTCGATGCACGGCGGGGTGGCGGCGATGGGGAGCTCGTCCATGCACGCCGGCTACATGGCCTCGGGCTCCATGCACGGCGGCGGTGCCGGACGAGCATCTGCCGTGGCCATGCGGTGAGTGCGCAGTGAGGTGGGTTTGAAATTAGGCGCCTCACGATGGCGGGTGGTGGTGTGGGAAAGAAAGGATGCATTGAAACAGAGGAGCTCCTGTGCCTTGCTTCAATCCGAATGCTTCAATCCCGTGCCCGCCCCCCTCTCCCCGCACGCACCCCCTTCCCCCCGCGCCGCCATGCAGGCGGCGAAGCTGCGCGCGTCCAAGACGGCGCTGGAGCGACACGCTGCGCTTTCCTTGCCCATGACTCTCCTTGTCCGCTCCCCCCCCTCCCCCCCACCCTTGCAGCGCCATGCAGGCGGCGAAGCTGCGCGCGTCCAAGACGGCGCTGGAGCGCCACAACGTGCAGATCATCGGCACGGGAGCAGAGCTGCTCGTGCTCTCGCACGGCTTCGGGCAGAACAAGAATGTGAGTCGCACGGCTTTGGGGTGAATAAGAATGTGAGTCGTACGGCCCTCCCGATAGAGTTACAGTGTAACGAATTGGGTAACCATGCGCATGTTGCTATATGAACAGTGCTAATATGGCCAGAGGATCACACTTAACGCATGTGCACTGGAACCAGGTGACCGCAGCGAGCTTGGCCGGTCTGCACAATGTAGCATTGCCCTTCCCCCCGCCCCCCTCGCTCTCCGTACACACTCGCCACCCACCCCCCCCCCTCTCCTCCCCCCCTCTCCCCCCCCCCCCACCCCACCCCCTCTCCTGCTTCTCTGACGGAGCAGCATGCAGCGCCGCTGGGCGCCTGCGACTGTTGCGACGAGTCAAGCATTGCCCCAAATTCCTCTACACCCTCCCCTCGCATCCCCTGTGCGTGCGCAGATCTGGAGCAGCATTTTGGGCCAGCTGGACACGAGCGTGTACAGAGTCGTGCTCTACGACCTCACAGGCGCGCTGGGGTACGTTGCGGTGTGCTGCAGGGCGTGGGTGGGTGGGATGCGTGGCATGGGCTGGGTGCCGTGGGGTGGCAGGCATGGCCTGGCACGGGATGGATGAGCATGGCATGGCATGGGATGGGGGGATGGCATGGTGTGGCATGAGGGATGGCATGGTGTGGCATGAGGGATGGCATGGCGGGCATGAGGGATGGCATGGTGTGGCATGCTCATGAAAGCGTGAGGGGCCACTGGGGTATGCTCAGTTCCAAAGTCCTGCCTGCCTGCCCCCAGTCCATGCACCGCACTTAAATGGATCCGGCTAACAACGCCAAAGAAAATCCCACGACTACCATCCAGTGCTCCTACATATCTGTAACACTCTCCGCTTCATTCCTATCCCCCTCGTCCCTCCTCTTCCCAGCACGGACTACGACGCCTTTGACTACCAGCGCTACAGCACATGCCTCATGCCGCCTTACCTTACCTTACCCTCTGCGCATGCATCCCTACCCGTACCCCCTCTCCCCCCACCCACCCCCTTCCCCGTACCCAGCACGGACTACGACGCCTTTGACTACCAGCGCTACAGCACGCTGCACGGCTTCGCAGAGGACCTGCTGCAGCTGCTGGGCGAGCTGGGCGTCGAGGTACGTCCCAGGGCAGAGGGTACTGGGGGGGACGGGGGAGGAGGAGGGGCGGGGGGGGGGTTGGGTGGGGAGTAAGAGGCAGAGGGTCTAGAGGACCTGCTGCGGCTGCTGGGCGAGCTGGGCGGTACGTCTCGATGGGCCCAGGGCAGATGCTGCTTGAGGGGAATGCTTTGCTATGTGTCATATTCCGACTGCACGGCTTCGCAGAGGACCCGCTGCAGCTGCTGGGCGAGCTGGGCGTCGAGGTACGGCTTCAGGGGGGGGGTAGTCAAAAGACAGAGGGGGATGGGTTCGGTGGGGGGAGAGGGTGGGAGGGAGGGCTATTGGTCCCCCGTCAACCGCTGCATGGCTTTGCAGGGGCCTTCTGCAGCTGTTGGGCGAGCAGGGCGTCGAGGCACGGTGCTGGGAAGGGCGGAGTTGTGGAGGATTGCTTCAAGAAAAGGGGGCGCAGGGCTGAGGGGGTGGGTCCGGTGGGAGGGGCACTGTTTCATAACTAACCGCTGCATGGCGTTTCAGAGGACCTGCTGCAGCTGCTGGGCGAGCTGAGCGTGGCGGTACGGTGCTGGGAAGGGGTGGGGGGAGGGGGCGGAGGGATGGTAAAGGCAGGTAGAGGTATGAATCGTGGGGGCCAGGGCTCAGGGCAGAGAGGGTGGGTCCCGGAGAGAGGGGTATTGGTCCATCACTAGCCGTAGCCTGCCACCAGGCTTCTTAGAGGATCTGCTGTGACTGCTGGGGGACCTGGGTTTGGAGGTATGCTGGTAGGGGGGTAGCGGCAGTGCAGTGGGGGTCTACACGTGTGCCGCTGCACATTGTGCGTGGTCAGGTCAGCTGCTCCTCCTGTGTGCATGTGGCGGGTCTGATGCGTGTGCTCCTCATCATTCCCCTTTCCACCCCCTTCCTGCCCCTCAGGCGCCTACTCCTTCTACTCACTCTCATTCTCCCCCTACTGCCCGCCGTCTCTCCATCCCTTCCTTCCTGCCTTGCTCAATGCCAGGGCACGGACTGGGGTCACCAGTGCACGCTCATAGGACACCAGCAGAGCGGCATGATGGGGCTGCTGGCGTCTCTCCCTTTCCAACCTCACCCCCCCTCCCTCCCCCTCCTCTAAGTGGAGAAATACGCGTCCAGCGTATTATACGCAAGCGTATTATACGCTAGCGTATATACGCTGTACGCTTCATTATGGGATTGGATACGCTAGGAAATACGCTCTGGCGGGCAGGTATAGAAACAACTCGGGCAGGGGTAAAAAAACCTGTTTGGGGAGGGAAGAGGGGGGGTTCAGAGCACCAAATTCCCCCCACCAAATGTGGCATCATTTAGCATGGTAATAAATAAATAGTTCAAGCCACCAAGGGCATGTCAAGGGTTCCAAACTCCAACAACCAGCCAACCACCCATCTCAGGTAAGCCTCCCCCAAACAGCCCGCCTAACCCTCTCCTGCTCTGCTCTACAGGTACTCGTCCAGCAGCTCCTCATCTTCGCCCTCCTCATCCTCCTCCTCCCTATCCACCCTGTACCCTGCAGGGACGGGGGCGTCCGGGATGTGACCGGACACCACCCCCGCCCCCTCGTCGGCCATGTGCCAGTTGTGCACAACCTTCCAGTTGTGCGCAACGTAAACCAAATCCTTGCACTTTTCTGAACCCAGCCGGTTGCGTCGGGCGGTGTGGACAGTATCCCACACCGCCCAGTTGCGCTCGCAGCTGGATGCAGACACCGGCTGACTTAGCACTCGGCAAGCAAGGGCCATGAGCAAGGGGTGGTCAGTGCCGTGCCACTCCCACCACGCCTCCATGGAATAACTTCCTTCCTTCACCAACTTCCGGTCACTGATGGCCTCAGCCGTGCCGAAGCTGCCCCTCAACTTCAGAAAGGCGGCCAACCCTTCCTGCAGGAGGAGTGTGGCACGCTTGGGCAGGCCATCCCTCTGGGGAATCATCACCCCGCCATAGTGGCGGGCAATGAAAGCTTTGAACACATTGGTGCACTCCGTGTCCGGCCCAAAAATCCGCTCCTCCTGGTTGACCGGGTTAAGAATCCGCTCGACCACGTGCAGTGGGCAAGCCATACTCTCATCCCAACGCCGCTTCACAATCTCATTGACGCCCTTCTTGTCTCCCGCACTCAGCACCCCATCCCCCTCCTCCTTCAGCAGTTCTGCCACATTCACAGTGATCTCAAGCATCAGCTCATAGATGCGGCCCATCATCCCTTTCGCGCAGCTGCCTTCTTTGGGCCCACCGCCCACTCCGCCTTCCATGCATCGCAGAGCACCATGGTCACCAGCGTTGACCGCAACTCCACCAGGCGGGACACAGCAATGTGCTGCGTCCCAAACCTGGTCCCCGCCGGCCTCAGCATCTGCAGCCCCTTCCCTCCGTCCACACCCCTGAGATACTGTCGGGTCCAATGGTGGCTGCGGGTGTAGTTGATGAGCTCGCTCGCCCGCCCCACTACCTCCTTGGCCCAAGCCTGCCGTCCCACATCCTCCATAAGGAGGTCGAGCACGTGCGTCGCACACGGCACATGCTCGATGCGCGGATTCTCTGCAATGAGGAGCCGGCAGGCGCTGTGGTAGTTGCTGCCGCCATCGGTGCAGAATGCCACGATGTTCTCGACCCCAACCTTTTGCAGGATGGGCCGGAGGAGCCGGGCGATGTATCCCCCGGTCTTTTTCTCCATCTTGCAGTCAATACTCTCGACGAACACTGCGCCGGTGTCATTGACCAGCATCACATTCGCCTGCGGCCTGCCACACTTGTCGGTCATCATGTCGCTGGCAATCGTCACGCCGTGGCGCTTCCAGCTCGACATGACGCCCGTCAATCCCTCGTCAATCCGCTTGCGGCATAGCTGCAAGCCGGCACCACCCACGTAGTCGCGCTTTGGAGGCATATAGCTGGTCCCCGCACGCGCGATGGACCGGACGGCGTTGCGCCAAAGCGGGTGGTCGGCATGGCGCTCGGGAAGCCGGAGGCCGGCAAAGAGGAGGCAAATACCCTCGTCCGCCGCCGCCTTGGCCGCTTGGGCGTCATCGGACAGGTAATCGGTGATCTTCCGCTTTCCCCGACCACTAACGGCGTCGAGGGCCGACTCCTCCGCCCTATGTGCCTCCTCCCTCGCGAGCACTTTGGCGGTTTGGAACGCGCGGACGGCAACCTGCTCCTCCTTCCCTACCTCCTCGCATTTCCGAACCTCGCGCCTACGCATACCATCCCAACTAGTGATGTGCTGTGCGCAGCGGTAGGCCGTCCCGGTAAAGGATACGGGGCAGTACTTGCACCAATACTTTTGCTGCTTGCCGTGCTCCTTATGCTTAAACTTGAAATGCTTAAAGATAGCGTGGGTGGAGTTCTCCAGGAGCTCGTCAGAGGAAGACGCAGCACAGGAGGTTCCCGCGTCGGTTCCGTGGGAACCAGGACTAGGTGGAGGGTTCGACATAGCAACAGTCGCTAAAAAACCAGCTCGCTAGTCGCGCTAGCTTGGAAGAAGAAATGACTGAAGTTAGCGCGCCAGTTTACTTGTACCCTGATTTCGTCGTAGGAGTGAACTGCGCTGAACCCTGCTGGAGTAGAGTAGAGAGGGAGAGGAAGGAGATTTCTTTGGGTGTTGTTTGGAAGTCGCAGATTGGGTGGGATGCTGTGTGGTTGGGAGGGGCGAAGGGGTTGGGTTGACGATTTGAAAAGCCAAATTTCGGTTTGTGACATGGCGAAATCCCTGTGGGGTTTCGTCCTGTCGCAAATTTGTCGCATCGTTTTTTGCGTATTTCTTGCCGGGCTGCCCGCCAAGAAATACGCTAGCGTATTGCGTACTTAGCTAGTGTACAGCGTATTCGTATTATACGCTAGCGTATGTATGCAATACGCTAGGCTGCCCAAGCGTATTTCTCCACTTAGCCCCTCCTCTCTTCCCCCTCCTCTCTTCCCCGTCCTCTCTCCACCCCCTTCACCCTCATTACCAGGGCACGGACTGCGGCCACCAGTGCACGCTCATACGGCACCACCAGAGCGGCATGATGGGGCTGCTGGCATCTCTCCCTTCCCTACCTCACTCCCCCTCTCTCTCCCTCCTCTCTTCCCGCCCTTTCCACCGCCTCCCCTTCCCCCCCTGCCAGGGCACGGACTGGGGCCACCAGTGCACGTTCATAGGGCACCAGCAGAGCGGCATGATGGGGCTGCTGGCGTCCCTGGAGCGACCAAGTGTCTTCAAGCGCATTATCATCATGGGCTCGTCCCCCAGGTGATTGACTGTTCCTCTGACTTCTCTTGAACCATTTATCAGGCTCTGAGTGACTGTTCACCCACCCACCCACCCACCCCAACCGTGTGGTTTATGATGCTCATTTCCCTCCCCTCTCATTTCCCACTCTATGTGTGCACATGACGGCAGGATGCTGGACGCACCGGGCTACGAGGGTGGCTTTGCGCTGAACGACCTGGACCAGGTGTTTGGCATCATGCAAGGCAACTTCAAGGTCAGTCCTTGCATTGAGCTGCCACTGCTGCCACTTGCCACTGCTGTTCCTGTTTTCGTGACTGCTGCCATGTTCGTGCCAAGGCAAGACTGGGAGATCATATGTGTGCTGAAGTCTCCGCTGTTTGTATCCCACCGTCTCAGTGCATTTCCCATCCATATCTCCCTTCCGTGTCTGCCCTTGCATGCCTTGCCCGATGCGATCCATTCAGATGTGGGGCAGGGGCTGTGCGCAGTGCTCACAGCAGGCGACGTGAAGGCACCGGCGGTGCTGACGCGGGTTCACGCGTTCCCTCGTTCTGATCCCTGTGGCTCATTTCCCTTTGCCCCATGCCATGCCCCACTCCCTCAGATGTGGAGCAGGGGCTGTGCGCCCGTGCTCACAGCAGACGACGTGAAGGCGCCCCATGTGCGCGAGTTCACGCGCCCGCTCTTCCTGCTGCGCCCCGACATCGGGTTCAGCAACCTCAAGACCGCCTTCGCGTGCGATGTGCGCGACATCCTACCAAGGGTGAGTGCTCATGCTGTACGCTTGTTAACCTGTTAGACATGTGATGTGAGCGAGAGGGATAGATGGTTCGCTCGTCCGCTCCTCCTGCTGCACCCCGACATCGGCTTCAGCAACCTCAAGACCGCCTTTGCTTGCGACGTGCGCGACATCCCACCAAGGGTGAGTGCTCATGCTGCGTCAGTCATGTGAGGCTGCTCTTGAGTCGACTCAAAAGCTGTGAGCGAGAGGGAGATTCTACAACGGATGAGGGCTCTTGCTGCTTGCCTGTTAGCCATGTATGGAAGGGTGATAGACTGTTAGCCATATGAGGGAGAGCGTTAGACGGTCTCGCACCCTCTGCTCTTTCTGCTGCGGCCCGACACTGGCTTCAGCAATCTCAAGACCGCCTCTGCGTGCGACGTGCGCGACATCCTACCAAGGGTGAGTGGTCGTATCCACCACGAGTCAGCGCTCATGTTTCCATGATCCCTAACCTGATGTTTTGCACGCGACCTGCCCGTTACGCATGCAGTGCAGCACATTTGTCCCATGGTGCGTTCTACTCAGGTGCTTGGTTTGTAACCTCGTCTTCATTGCTGTTCCCCATGTGTCCCTGGTTTCACGTCCCACGCGTGTCAGTGCAGGTGCACCTTCTCTTCTTTGACAAGGACTCCACCGTGCCCCAGCCAGTCAAACAGTACATGCTCACCACCATCCCCAACGCCTTTGCACCCCTGGAGTCATTGAGTCTCAACTGTTCTTGTTTCCTGTCTCTCTGTCCCTGATTTCCCCCCCTCCAGGTGTCAGTGCAGGTGCACCTCCTCTTTTTCGACAAGGACTCCATCGTACCCCAGCCAGTCATCCAATACATGCTCACCACCATCCCCAACGCCTTTGCCGAAATCCTCTCTACTACCGGCTTCAGCGATTCGCCTACAACGGTCGCTGCGGGCATTCAACGGCATCTCAACATGCCTATTCGGGAAACATTTGGGCTGTCGAGTCGACGCATATTCAACGCCAGGCATCTACCACCGCCTATGCCTGAGATGGAGGAAGACACTGGGGAAATGGAGGTGGAGATTATATAGATTTTGGATGATTTGTGTACAAGGCACACAATATAGGCATAATCTAGAAAAAAAAAACATTTTGTCTTAGTTTTTCATTGCTTGGGATACTGTTCCTAGCGACAGCAGAATCCTCAGCTGCTTTTACACTCGCCGTTCTTCGCAACGCTTCGCCAACTTCGCGCACCTTACCCACAGATGGCCTCTAAGGGGTGAGCAGAAGAGCACGATGTCACGGTTTGATGTCGAGTCACCACCTTAAAGCGCACAGTAGCCTTCTCAAAACTGCGAAAGCGTACTGTACCGCGCTGAGACGTCAGGTGACGTTGTTTTCTTCACCAAAAATCGTTTTGGCAAAAGCGCTCTAGAACTTTATTTGACCGTTTCAGAACGCAAAACATCGTTGCGAACCGCAATCGGACGTACTTTAGTGACACGCCCTTACACTTGATACACGCCCTAAGGGCGCGTCCCAAAAGTATGTCTCCAATACATTGAATGCGGTGGTGTGTTGGGCAACGATTTTAACGCGTCACCGCTTCGAAACTTGGGGAACCGTATCGGACCTGTACAGACTGGACGGGGGACATACTCTTGGGACGCGCCCTAAGGGCGTGCCACTAAAGAACGCGCTTTGTTCATTACCGAGATCAGTTACCATTTTTAGGTGTGTAACCATAAAACATGCCTGAACAAGACACGCCCAGCTCACACCCGAAATTAGCGGACACCAGCGCGGTACCTCCGCACGACAAAAAGTAGGTCACACAAAAAATCCAGTTTGCCAACCAGTACCAGCACCACCTCTAGCGACACTTTCCAGCCTCGCACGTCGCTAGCGAAGAGCCTACCCCCGCTGCGCCGATTGGCCCTCATTTTGTTACACGCGCATCGCGTGGGTTTCGCATGGCGGGACCCCGTTACCCGCTCCTATGCCTGAGCTGGTCTCGGTGCTGTCCTTTCGAACTGCACCCTTCATTTCGGACCTGTTCCCAAATCGGGATCTGTTTCAAAATCGATTCACATTGCGTACCGTCAAACGGCTCCGCGTGTCAAAAACGGGTAACGATTTTTGGGGACACGCCCTAACGCATCATTCCCTGAAGCACCTGTCAACAAATGCTCAATTGCACCTCTTCTTTCCGCATTTCTAGCATTTCTCCAAGTTTCTAGCATTTGCAAATCCGTGAGTCGATCACCTGCTGCTCTCCACTCCACTCGAGTCTGGTTGACGCATCCGATCCCCTCCTTGCCAAACTGCTGTGCGTCTGTCACCTCTCAAGAGCCGTCCGTCCGTGCGTCATCCTCGCGGGATGCTCCGTTCTCAGTACTACCCTCACGCTTGACTCACCATTTTCAGCGTAGAATACCCTCACGCTAGACTCGCCATTTTCAGTGTTGAAAACATATATTTTTCCCGGATTTGTCGTTCGGGGAGTCATGGCGACGGCGGCGACGAAGGAGCAACAGCAGAAGACCATCAATGTGCTCACTGCTGCGGCTCCGCTACAGGTGGGCTCGCTACTGGCGCTGGGAATAGTAACCACACATTTTTGTAACGGCATTTTTATTATCTCAGGCGCTTATTATTAGCGGTATTGCGTTTCCACACGCACTTCAGCAGCATGGTAGGATATAAATCTACCTAAAACTTTCAAAAGCAGTGCCGTATCTCATGACTTCTTGACATTGCGCTGAGTTGCGCTGACGTTGATCTGACGTGTTTCACATTGCGTGCCGTGCGCTGGTTGGCCGGCAGAACTATGAGTTCGACTTCGGGATTGGAGGAGCGCCGGGCAAGGCAGCAGGAGCGAGCCTCAAAGACCAGCGGAGCGGCTACTCCCTCGCGTCGGTGAGTCGCCGTGCCTTGCCTTTCCCCCCCCCATCCCATGCCAGTCGTCGGATCCCAGTCGTCAAATCCCCAGTCGTCAGGAGCGAGCCTCACGGACTAGCCGAGCGGCTACTCCCTCGCGTCGGTGAGTCGCCGTGCTTAGGAGCTCGGTCCTAACTTGCACATCTTTCGTCCACACGACTCGCCAGACCTCCTTTCCTCGCCTCATCATTCCTCCCTCGCACTCTACTCAGATCTCCACTCTTCCTCCCGCTCCCTCTAAAATCTTCCACTCTCCCCCCCTGCCTGCCATCGCTGCAGGTGTCCAAGGGCGGGGGCCTAGCCTTCATGCTCCTCGGCTCTTCCTTCCTCCCTTTCCTCCCGCCAATTAAGCTTCCACCCTCTCCTCCCTCCTGCTTCCTCTGGAACTTCCACTCTCTCCCTCTGCCCCTCTTTCATCGCTGCAGGTGTCCAAGGGCGGGGACCTAGCCTCCATGCTCCTCGGCTCCTCCTCCTCCGCCTCCCCAGCCACCGCCGCCCCCAAAGCCCCCGCCTACTCCGGTCCCCCCACAGTGGCGCTCTCCCCCACCTTCACCCCCGCGCCCCCCCCCTGGATGCTCACCCCCGCCTCCCCCGCGCCCACTCCGTCCGTCTCGGGCGTGTACACCGTCACCATCCCGCCGCCCGTCTCCATCCAAGCTTCCTTCAAGGAAGGCCCTCCCACCGGGGCTGCCGCCGTTGCTGCCGGTGCTGCTGGTGCTGCTGCTGGCGCCACAGCAGCAGGCACTACGGTGGGTCCAGGGGCTCTGGGGCTCTCAGGGGTTGGAGCAGCAGGGGGGGTGGGGGGAGCAGGGGGTGGGGCGGGCGGAGGGGGGATGGGCGGGCTGGCTGCCACGTGGACGGCGTCGCCCCTGGGATCCACGAGCAGCAAGAAGCCGGACGCCCTCACTGACCTCTGGAGCACCGTGGCCTCGGGGGCTGCTGCTGGGAATGGTGGTGCTGGTGGTGCTGGTGGTGCTGGTGGTGGTGGAATTGGTGGAACTGGCAGTGGTGGTGGTGGTGGTGGTGGGATGACAGGAAATGGTGCTTCTGCAGGAGCAGCAGCGCCATTAGCTAATGGGGTAGCAGACAGGACTTCGTCGTCATCAGCAGCAGCAGCCCCAGCAGCAGCGGTGCCAGTGGTGGATCCATTTGGGGACGTCTTCGCCTCTGTTCCCATGGCTCCTGCACCCTCTGCTGCCTCGGCTGCCCCAGCAGCAGCAGCAGGTGGCGACCTGCTGGGGGGAGACCTGCTGTCTGACTTGGGCTCCTCTGTGCCTGCTGCTGCTGCTGCAGCTGATGCCGCAACCTCCGCTGCTGCTTCTGCTGCTGCTGCTGCTGCTGCTGCTGCTGCTGCCAGCCCGATGGATCCTGTCGGAGGGCTGCTGTGACACAGCTTGATGTCACTCTGAAATATAATGTTTGCATACACCTACCATGGGCAAGACCTGTGTGGACTAGTCCGCCTGTTATCCATGAGATTGCTGCCACCTGAAGTTCAAAAATCAAGCCCTCTGGACAGCACAAATACATAAACTTCCTCTGGACCACTAGTGCATCTTCGCAGGCCATACTACCGTACTTGTTTCCAATGGGTTTACGAAATTGTATTGCAACGCAACCGATTGGCATCAATAGCAGCCAATAGCAGCCAATCAGCACCAACAGCAGTAGCGACCAAGTGGCATCAATAGCAGCCAATTGGCACCAAGAGAAGCGAATAGCAGCCAAGTGTGGAATGGAAAGAATGGTGAACAAAGCACGTGTGATGGTATGGTCAAACCCCCTTGTTCATGGTATCCAGAAGTGTCACCCTTTCTATAATATGCTACTCAACGCCCCCAACTTTGGAAATCTCACTTCAGTCTTTCAAGAGGCTCAAGAAACACCCCACAGCCACAGTTGACACAAGTCAGTTCAAAACCCATTTTCGTTTTGAAGGCAATATCATTCCTCCCATCCCAGGCGTATTTGCTGCGTGACAAGAGCCTGGCAACCTTGGCACGTCTCTGCTAAAAGTCCCCTGCTAGGTCATCAACTGCGTTGGGCATTACAAACTCGTCCTCCCCCACACTCTCACCGGCCCGCTGCTTCCAGTAGGCCAGCCTACCCTTCAGCAGTTGAATCTCCTTGTCTGGCGTTCCCTGCCAGCCTCTGCTCCATCTCCTCCACTCTGGACCTGCGTAGGACAGGACAAGGCACAGGACATGCACAAACACAGGCACGTGCACACACACGCATGGGGCGTTGACACCATCAAGTGCGCATGCAGCCAAATACGTCAGTCTGGTACAAGAATGCATGATGAGTTTGGTTCAGCCGCATGGTACATCCAAGGACGAGCTGGAGAGAGAGCGGTCAGCAACGGCAGCAGCGGCACAAGTGGATGAGCTAAGTGGCAAGTGGAGGGAGGCTGAGAGGCTGACACGCGCTACAGAAGCTGTTGCAACGGATGCTGTGCAGCACCAAGAGGCCCTTGAAGATGTCAAGCGCAAGCTTGAGGAGACCGTCAGGGAGAGCGACCCGCTCAGGTGGGTTATCTTCCTGACGGCATCCTCAAGCGTGTGCCTCACATCCCCAATGGCCTTCTGGTGCTGCACATCACAGTCTGCTGCAGCAGTATCTGCAGCAGGCGCCTGTCTCTCAGCCTCCCTCCACTTGCCACTCAGCTCCTTCACTTGTGCGGCTGCTACCGCTGCTGACCACTCTCTCTCCACCTCGTCCTTGAACCAAACTCTCCAACACTTGTTTGATTGCATCCACCATTGCCTAAATCTGACATGACGAGACTAACGCATGCTAATGCACTCCACAAACACATGTTAGAACTTCAACATACTTCGAACACCTACCTGTGCCAAACACCCTTCGCGAGGCTCCAATTTTACTTTCAGCCTTTTTACGAGCAACGTACCGGTGAGTGATGGAGGGGTAACGGGTGGCTTTGGCTGCGCCTTCACCAGCTCATGAATGGTCCATCAAGGAGAACGGCATAGTGTTCAACAACACAGTATCAGGCAAGCACATTTGATAGTGGGTCATATTCATTGAAAGTCTTCTCACCTCCATAGCTTCTCTTTTGCAGCTGACATCAATGTCCAGGCGTCGCTCAACTCTCTGTCGCGCCCAGCTCGCTGTTGCGCATCATGGCTGCTTCCTTAGCTCGCTGCCGGAGCAGGGAAAGGCACGTAAGAGCAAAAGGGAAAATGCAAAGGTTAAGGCAAGTAAGCGATGTTGCAAACTTGTTGATGCATGACATGATCTTGAACAAGGCAGGTGAAACGAAGGCAAAAAATCTCCAGCAGAAAGTCCATTCATTTTGCCAGCCATGCCCGAGTCTAAAGCAAGCAGATCAGCTATGACGGCACTTGTGTCAATGTCTCAGCCCTTCAAGCGGTCCATCTCATCTTACCTCCTCCTCCACCCTCGTCGCAAGGGTCTGCGCCTCTGCCTCCAGCCGAGCAGGCTCCATGGAAGCATCCTCCGCCTTCTTGCTCTGACATGGATGCAGACATCCATGTAGCAACACACACGCACAACACGTGTGCATGTATGCACACAGGCACACACACCCATAAACACATCACAAAAAAAACACGGCAACCATACACATAGCTTTGCTCGTACATTTTCCCCTTTGGCTTTCGCCGCTCCAATGGTGAGCCAAAGGAGTCATGCCGCGCAGCAACGAGCTGGAGACATCAGCGACGGTGCACGAGACAGAGTTGAGCGAGACCCAGACAAGGCTGGCAGTAGCAGAAGGAAAGCTTGGTCATGCTGTTATGGAGGTAACAAGGCGTGATTTGAATATGACCCATTCATAGGGTAAACGCCAATCGTAGACGCATAGAATAGTGTGTCATATTCATAGAAAGCTGCATAACAGTGTGAACGAGCTTCCCTTCTGCCACTGTCAACCTTGTCCGGGTTAACTCGACCCCGCCTCGCGCGCCGTCCGTCACTGACCATGCCAGCTCGCTGCTGCGCGTCATGGTTCCCTCCTTTGCTCGTCGCTCGAGCGGCGAACGTCAAAGGGAAAAAACATTAAGGGAAAGGCAAGTAAGCGATGCTGCAAGCTTGTTGATGCATGCTATGCTCTTGAAACAAAACGGGTGGAACGACGGCAAGAACTCTAGCAGCCAAGCCATTCATGTTTGCAGTCATGCCCACGTCTGAAGCAAGCAGATCAGCTATGCCAGCACTCATGTCCAAGTCTTCCCATCATCTCATCTTACCTCCTCCTCCACCCTCGTCTCAAGGGCCTATGCCTTCGCTTCCAGCCGGCCACGCTCCATACTAGCGTCCTCCGCCTTCTTGCTGTGACATAGATGCAAGCAGTCACCCAGCAACACACGCAGACAACACACGTGCATGCATGCACGCATGCACATACACCCACAAACACATCATCCAAAAGCACGGGCAACCATGCACACAGCTTGCTCATGGGACACATGCGTCTGTAGGTCAAAACTAGTGATAGGCAGCCCTTGCACACGCAACCCCAGCCGCCACGTCAATTCCAAGGCACAAGGCATACCTGGTAGCTTCAATTGCCTGCTGAAACTCGTCTGAGAGTAATTTCTTTCTTGAGTCGACTCGCTACTCGCCTCGCCCAAGGCTTATGGCTACAAGGCGTACCTGGCAACTTCAAGCGCCTGCTCCACCTGCTGCTTGCACTCCCTAAGCACCTTCTCTAGCTCCTCCTGCTCCACTACATTCAGGGGGGTGGCAGTTAAATGCAAAAAGGCAGGGTGAGATGCACAACGAGTGAAGTGGTTTCACAACAGACTTGCAAAGGAAAAACAACGAATAGGCAGAACAGACTGGGCACGGTAGAAGCCAATAACAGACGCACATAACCCCATCGATTCTATCCCATCACCCCATCCACTTTATCCCATCACATCACCCCATGCGACAACCCAAGCACCCATCTCAGCCATTAGTATACCATCGGCCCATCAGCACACTCACTTCAACCATGGCGAACCTACCTTAACCCTCACAAAATGGACTCATCAACCCATTAACCTCAACCCTTAGACGCACCCTTATAAGCAAGACGGACAGAGCTGTGTTACAGGTTCCCCTGTCCCAAACGGAAGCAGAAAGAGCAAACCTCAGGCGCCCCCTCAGGCGCCCCCTCAGGCGCCCAGAGTGCAGGTGCGAGATTGGGGTGGGGTGGCAGCGTCGCGTGCAGAGCGGCCAAGCCCAGCTGCAATCCGGGCATGCTCCCCTCCACAGGCAGCATGGCAGGGGCAGCTCTGTAGGAGGGGGAAGGCAGGGGCATGCGGCAAGCATGGGGATCTGTGAGGGGCATGCGGCGAGCATGGGGATCTGTGAGGGGCATGCGGCAAGCATGGGGATCTGTGAGGGGCATGCGGCAAGCATGGGGATCTGTGAGGGGCATGCGGCAAGCATGGGGATCTGTGAGGGGCAGGCGGCAAGCATGGGGATCTGTGAGGGGCATGCGGCAAGCATGGGGATCTGTGAGGGGCATGCGGCAAGCATGGGGATCTGTGAGGGGCATGCGGCAAGCATGGGGATCTGTGAGGGGCATGCGGCAAGCATGGGGATCTGTGAGGGGCATGCGGCAAGCATGGGGATCTGTGAGGGGCATGCGGCAAGCATGGGGATCTGTGAGGGGCATGCGGCAAGCATGGGGATCTGTGAGGGGCAGGCGGCAAGCATGGGGATCTGTGAGGGGCATGCGGCAAGCATGGGGATCTGTGAGGGGCATGCGGCAAGCATGGGGATCTGTGAGGGGCATGCGGCAAGCATGGGGATCTGTGAGGGGCATGCGGCAAGCATGGGGATCTGTGAGGGGCATGCGGCAAGCATGGGGATCTGTGAGGGGCATGCGGCAAGCATGGGGATCTGTGAGGGGCATGCGGCGAGCATGGGGATCTGTGAGGGGCATGCGGCAAGCATGGGGATCTGTGAGGGGCATGCGGCAAGCATGGGGATCTGTGAGGGGCATGCGGCAAGCATGGGGATCTGTGAGGGGCATGCGGCAAGCATGGGGATCTGTGAGGGGCATGCGGCAAGCATGGGGATATGTGAGAGGCATGCGGCAAGCATAGGGATATGTGAGGGGCAGGCGGCAAGCATGGGGATATGTGAGGGGCATGCGGCAAGCATGGGGATATGTGAGGGGCATGCGGCAAGCATGGGGATATGTGAGAGGCATGCGGCAAGCATAGGGATATGTGAGGGGCAGGCGGCAAGCATGGGGATATGTGAGGGGCATGCGGCAAGCATGGGGATATGTGAGGGGCATGCGGCAAGCATGGGGATATGTGAGGGGCATGCGGCAAGCATGGGGATCTGTGAGGGGCATGCGGCAAGCATGGGGATCTGTGAGGGGCATGCGGCAAGCATGGGGATATGTGAGGGGCATGCGGCAAGCATGGGGATATGTGAGGGGCATGCGGCAAGCATGGGGATATGTGAAAGGCATGCGGCAAGCATGGGGATCTGTGAGGGGCATGCGGCAAGCATGGGGATCTGTGAGGGGCATGCGGCAAGCATGGGGATCTGTGAGGGGCATGCGGCGAGCATGGGGATCTGTGAGGGGCATGCGGCGAGCATGGGGATCTGTGAGGGGCATGCGGCAAGCATGGGGATCTGTGAGGGGCATGCGGCAAGCATGGGGATCTGTGAGGGGCATGCGGCAAGCATGGGGATCTGTGAGGGGCATGCGGCAAGCATGGGGATCTGTGAGGGGCATGCGGCAAGCATGGGGATCTGTGAGGGGCATGCGGCAAGCATGGGGATCTGTGAGGGGCATGCGGCAAGCATGGGGATATGTGAGAGGCATGCGGCAAGCATAGGGATATGTGAGGGGCAGGCGGCAAGCATGGGGATATGTGAGGGGCATGCGGCAAGCATGGGGATATGTGAGGGGCATGCGGCAAGCATGGGGATATGTGAGAGGCATGCGGCAAGCATAGGGATATGTGAGGGGCAGGCGGCAAGCATGGGGATATGTGAGGGGCATGCGGCAAGCATGGGGATATGTGAGGGGCATGCGGCAAGCATGGGGATATGTGAGGGGCATGCGGCAAGCATGGGGATCTGTGAGGGGCATGCGGCAAGCATGGGGATCTGTGAGGGGCATGCGGCAAGCATGGGGATATGTGAGGGGCATGCGGCAAGCATGGGGATATGTGAGGGGCATGCGGCAAGCATGGGGATATGTGAGAGGCATGCGGCAAGCATGGGGATCTGTGAGGGGCATGCGGCAAGCATGGGGATCTGTGAGGGGCATGCGGCAAGCATGGGGATCTGTGAGGGGCATGCGGCGAGCATGGGGATCTGTGAGGGGCATGCGGCGAGCATGGGGATCTGTGAGGGGCATGCGGCAAGCATGGGGATCTGTGAGGGGCATGCGGCAAGCATGGGGATCTGTGAGGGGCATGCGGCAAGCATGGGGATCTGTGAGGGGCATGCGGCAAGCATGGGGATCTGTGAGGGGCATGCGGCAAGCATGGGGATCTGTGAGGGGCATGCGGCAAGCATGGGGATCTGTGAGGGGCATGCGGCAAGCATGGGGATCTGTGAGGGGCATGCGGCAAGCATGGGGATCTGTGAGGGGCATGCGGCAAGCATGGGGATCTGTGAGGGGCATGCGGCAAGCATGGGGATCTGTGAGGGGCATGCGGCAAGCATGGGGATCTGTGAGGGGCATGCGGCAAGCATGGGGATCTGTGAGGGGCATGCGGCAAGCATGGGGATCTGTGAGGGGCATGCGGCAAGCATGGGGATCTGTGAGGGGCATGCGGCAAGCATGGGGATATGTGAGGGGCATGCGGCAAGCATGGGGATATGTGAGGGGCATGCGGCAAGCATGGGGATATGTGAGGGGCATGCGGCAAGCATGGGGATATGTGAAAGGCATGCGGCAAGCATGGGGATCTGTGAGGGGCATGCGGCAAGCATGGGGATCTGTGAGGGGCATGCGGCAAGCATGGGGATCTGTGAGGGGCATGCGGCGAGCATGGGGATCTGTGAGGGGCATGCGGCAGCATGGGGATCTGTGAGGGGCATGCGGCAAGCATGGGGATCTGTGAGGGGCATGCGGCAAGCATGGGATCTGTGAGGGGCATGCGGCAAGCATGGGGATCTGTGAGGGGCATGCGGCAAGCATGGGGATCTGTGAGGGGCATGCGGCAAGCATGGGGATCTGTGAGGGGCATGCGGCAAGCATGGGGATCTGTGAGGGGCATGCGGCAAGCATGGGGATCTGTGAGGGGCATGCGGCAAGCATGGGGATCTGTGAGGGGCATGCGGCAAGCATGGGGATCTGTGAGGGGCATGCGGCAAGCATGGGGATCTGTGAGGGGCATGCGGCAAGCATGGGGATCTGTGAGGGGCATGCGGCAAGCATGGGGATCTGTGAGGGGCATGCGGCAAGCATGGGGATCTGTGAGGGGCATGCGGCAAGCATGGGGATATGTGAGAGGCATGCGGCAAGCATAGGGATATGTGAGGGGCAGGCGGCAAGCATGGGGATATGTGAGGGGCATGCGGCAAGCATGGGGATATGTGAGGGGCATGCGGCAAGCATGGGGATATGTGAGAGGCATGCGGCAAGCATAGGGATATGTGAGGGGCAGGCGGCAAGCATGGGGATATGTGAGGGGCATGCGGCAAGCATGGGGATATGTGAGGGGCATGCGGCAAGCATGGGGATATGTGAGGGGCATGCGGCAAGCATGGGGATCTGTGAGGGGCATGCGGCAAGCATGGGGATCTGTGAGGGGCATGCGGCAAGCATGGGGATATGTGAGGGGCATGCGGCAAGCATGGGGATATGTGAGGGGCATGCGGCAAGCATGGGGATATGTGAGAGGCATGCGGCAAGCATGGGGATCTGTGAGGGGCATGCGGCAAGCATGGGGATCTGTGAGGGGCATGCGGCAAGCATGGGGATCTGTGAGGGGCATGCGGCGAGCATGGGGATCTGTGAGGGGCATGCGGCAAGCATGGGGATCTGTGAGGGGCATGCGGCAAGCATGGGGATCTGTGAGGGGCATGCGGCAAGCATGGGGATCTGTGAGGGGCATGCGGCAAGCATGGGGATCTGTGAGGGGCATGCGGCAAGCATGGGGATCTGTGAGGGGCATGCGGCAAGCATGGGGATCTGTGAGGGGCATGCGGCAAGCATGGGGATCTGTGAGGGGCATGCGGCAAGCATGGGGATCTGTGAGGGGCATGCGGCAAGCATGGGGATCTGTGAGGGGCATGCGGCAAGCATGGGGATCTGTGAGGGGCATGCGGCAAGCATGGGGATCTGTGAGGGGCATGCGGCAAGCATGGGGATCTGTGAGGGGCATGCGGCAAGCATGGGGATCTGTGAGGGGCATGCGGCAAGCATGGGGATCTGTGAGGGGCATGCGGCAAGCATGGGGATCTGTGAGGGGCATGCGGCAAGCATGGGGATCTGTGAGGGGCATGCGGCAAGCATGGGGATCTGTGAGGGGCATGCGGCAAGCATGGGGATCTGTGAGGGGCATGCGGCAAGCATGGGGATCTGTGAGGGGCATGCGGCAAGCATGGGGATCTGTGAGGGGCATGCGGCAAGCATGGGGATCTGTGAGGGGCATGCGGCAAGCATGGGGATCTGTGAGGGGCATGCGGCAAGCATGGGGATCTGTGAGGGGCATGCGGCAAGCATGGGGATCTGTGAGGGGCATGCGGCAAGCATGGGGATCTGTGAGGGGCATGCGGCAAGCATGGGGATCTGTGAGGGGCATGCGGCAAGCATGGGGATCTGTGAGGGGCATGCGGCAAGCATGGGGATCTGTGAGGGGCATGCGGCAAGCATGGGGATCTGTGAGGGGCATGCGGCAAGCATGGGGATCTGTGAGGGGCATGCGGCAAGCATGGGGATCTGTGAGGGGCATGCGGCAAGCATGGGGATCTGTGAGGGGCATGCGGCAAGCATGGGGATCTGTGAGGGGCATGCGGCAAGCATGGGGATCTGTGAGGGGCATGCGGCAAGCATGGGGATCTGTGAGGGGCATGCGGCAAGCATGGGGATCTGTGAGGGGCATGCGGCAAGCATGGGGATCTGTGAGGGGCATGCGGCAAGCATGGGGATCTGTGAGGGGCATGCGGCAAGCATGGGGATCTGTGAGGGGCATGCGGCAAGCATGGGGATCTGTGAGGGGCATGCGGCAAGCATGGGGATCTGTGAGGGGCATGCGGCAAGCATGGGGATCTGTGAGGGGCATGCGGCAAGCATGGGGATCTGTGAGGGGCATGCGGCAAGCATGGGGATCTGTGAGGGGCATGCGGCAAGCATGGGGATCTGTGAGGGGCATGCGGCAAGCATGGGGATCTGTGAGGGGCATGCGGCAAGCATGGGGATCTGTGAGGGGCATGCGGCAAGCATGGGGATCTGTGAGGGGCATGCGGCAAGCATGGGGATCTGTGAGGGGCATGCGGCAAGCATGGGGATCTGTGAGGGGCATGCGGCAAGCATGGGGATCTGTGAGGGGCATGCGGCAAGCATGGGGATCTGTGAGGGGCATGCGGCAAGCATGGGGATCTGTGAGGGGCATGCGGCAAGCATGGGGATCTGTGAGGGGCATGCGGCAAGCATGGGGATCTGTGAGGGGCATGCGGCAAGCATGGGGATCTGTGAGGGGCATGCGGCAAGCATGGGGATCTGTGAGGGGCATGCGGCAAGCATGGGGATCTGTGAGGGGCATGCGGCAAGCATGGGGATCTGTGAGGGGCATGCGGCAAGCATGGGGATCTGTGAGGGGCATGCGGCAAGCATGGGGATCTGTGAGGGGCATGCGGCAAGCATGGGGATCTGTGAGGGGCATGCGGCAAGCATGGGGATCTGTGAGGGGCATGCGGCAAGCATGGGGATCTGTGAGGGGCATGCGGCAAGCATGGGGATCTGTGAGGGGCATGCGGCAAGCATGGGGATCTGTGAGGGGCATGCGGCAAGCATGGGGATCTGTGAGGGGCATGCGGCAAGCATGGGGATATGTGAGGGGCATGCGGCAAGCATGGGGATCTGTGAGGGGCATGCGGCAAGCATGGGGATCTGTGAGGGGCATGCGGCAAGCATGGGGATCTGTGAGGGGCATGCGGCAAGCATGGGGATGTGTGAGGGGCATGCGGCAAGCATGGGGATCTGTGAGGGGCATGCGGCAAGCATGGGGATCTGTGAGGGGCATGCGGCAAGCATGGGGATCTGTGAGGGGCATGCGGCAAGCATGGGGATCTGTGAGGGGCATGCGGCAAGCATGGGGATCTGTGAGGGGCATGCGGCAAGCATGGGGATCTGTGAGGGGCATGCGGCAAGCATGGGGATCTGTGAGGGGCATGCGGCGAGCATGGGGATCTGTGAGGGGCATGCGGCAAGCATGGGGATCTGTGAGGGGCATGCGGCAAGCATGGGGATCTGTGAGGGGCATGCGGCAAGCATGGGGATCTGTGAGGGGCATGCGGCAAGCATGGGGATCTGTGAGGGGCATGCGGCAAGCATGGGGATCTGTGAGGGGCATGCGGCAAGCATGGGGATCTGTGAGGGGAATGCGGCGAGCATGGGGATCTGTGAGGGGCATGCGGCAAGCATGGGGATCTGTGAGGGGCATGCGGCAAGCATGGGGATCTGTGAGGGGCATGCGGCAAGCATGGGGATCTGTGAGGGGCATGCGGCAAGCATGGGGATCTGTGAGGGGCATGCGGCAAGCATGGGGATCTGTGAGGGGCATGCGGCAAGCATGGGGATCTGTGAGGGGCATGCGGCAAGCATGGGGATCTGTGAGGGGCATGCGGCAAGCATGGGGATCTGTGAGGGGCATGCGGCAAGCATGGGGATCTGTGAGGGGCATGCGGCAAGCATGGGGATCTGTGAGGGGCATGCGGCAAGCATGGGGATCTGTGAGGGGCATGCGGCAAGCATGGGGATCTGTGAGGGGCATGCGGCAGCATGGGGATCTGTGAGGGGCATGCGGCAAGCATGGGGATCTGTGAGGGGCATGCGGCAAGCATGGGGATCTGTGAGGGGCATGCGGCAAGCATGGGGATCTGTGAGGGGCATGCGGCAAGCATGGGGATCTGTGAGGGGCATGCGGCAAGCATGGGGATCTGTGAGGGGCATGCGGCAAGCATGGGGATCTGTGAGGGGCATGCGGCAAGCATGGGGATCTGTGAGGGGCATGCGGCAAGCATGGGGATCTGTGAGGGGCATGCGGCAAGCATGGGGATCTGTGAGGGGCATGCGGCAAGCATGGGGATCTGTGAGGGGCATGCGGCAAGCATGGGGATCTGTGAGGGGCATGCGGCAAGCATGGGGATCTGTGAGGGGCATGCGGCAAGCATGGGGATCTGTGAGGGGCATGCGGCAAGCATGGGGATCTGTGAGGGGCATGCGGCAAGCATGGGGATCTGTGAGGGGCATGCGGCAAGCATGGGGATCTGTGAGGGGCATGCGGCAAGCATGGGGATCTGTGAGGGGCATGCGGCAAGCATGGGGATCTGTGAGGGGCATGCGGCAAGCATGGGGATCTGTGAGGGGCATGCGGCAAGCATGGGGATCTGTGAGGGGCATGCGGCAAGCATGGGGATCTGTGAGGGGCATGCGGCAAGCATGGGGATCTGTGGGGGCTGGGGGGGGGCATGCGGCAAGCATGGGGATCTGTGAGGGGCATGCGGCAAGCATGGGGATCTGTGAGGGGCATGCGGCAAGCATGGGGATCTGTGAGGGGCATGCGGCAAGCATGGGGATCTGTGAGGGGCATGCGGCAAGCATGGGGGATCTGTGAGGGGCATGCGGCAAGCATGGGGATCTGTGAGGGGCATGCAGCAAGCATGGGGATCTGTGAGGGGCATGCGGCAAGCATGGGGATCTGTGAGGGGCATGCGGCAAGCATGGGGATCTGTGAGGGGCATGCGGCAAGCATGGGGATCTGTGAGGGGCATGCGGCGAGCATGGGGATCTGTGAGGGGCATGCGGCAAGCATGGGGATCTGTGAGGGGCATGCGGCAAGCATGGGGATCTGTGAGGGGCATGCAGCAAGCATGGGGATCTGTGAGGGGCATGCGGCAAGCATGGTGATCTGTGAGGGGCATGCGGCAAGCATGGGGATCTGTGAGGGGCATGCGGCAAGCATGGGGATTGTGAGGGCATGCGGCAAGCATGGGGATCTGTGAGGGGCATGCGGCAAGCATGGGGATCTGTGAGGGGCATGCGGCAAGCATGGGGATCTGTGAGGGGCATGCGGCAAGCATGGGGATCTGTGAGGGCATGCGGCAAGCATGGGGACCTGTGAGGGGCATGCGGCGAGCATGGGGATCTGTGAGGGGCATGCGGCAAGCATGGGGATCTGTGAGGGGCATGCGGCAAGCATGGGGATCTGTGAGGGGCATGCGGCAAGCATGGGGATCTGTGAGGGGCATGCGGCAAGCATGGGGATCTGTGAGGGGCATGCAGCAAGCATGGGGATCTGTGAGGGGCATGCGGCAAGCATGGGGATCTGTGAGGGGCATGCGGCAAGCATGGGGATCTGTGAGGGTCATGCGGCAAGCATGGGGATCTGTGAGGGGCATGCGGCAAGCATGGGGATCTGTGAGGGGCATGCGGCAAGCATGGGGATCTGTGAGGGGCATGCGGCAAGCATGGGGATATGTGAGGGGCATGCGGCAAGCATGGGGATCTGTGAGGGGCATGCGGCAAGCATGGGGATCTGTGAGGGGCATGCGGCAAGCATGGGGATCTGTGAGGGGCATGCGGCAAGCATGGGGATGTGTGAGGGGCATGCGGCAAGCATGGGGATGTGTGAGGGGCATGCGGCAAGCATGGGGATCTGTGAGGGGCATGCGGCAAGCATGGGGATCTGTGAGGGGCATGCGGCAAGCATGGGGATCTGTGAGGGGCATGCGGCAAGCATGGGGATCTGTGAGGGGCATGCGGCAAGCATGGGGATCTGTGAGGGGCATGCGGCAAGCATGGGGATCTGTGAGGGGCATGCGGCGAGCATGGGGATCTGTGAGGGGCATGCGGCAAGCATGGGGATCTGTGAGGGGCATGCGGCAAGCATGGGGATCTGTGAGGGGCATGCGGCAAGCATGGGGATCTGTGAGGGGCATGCGGCAAGCATGGGGATCTGTGAGGGGCATGCGGCAAGCATGGGGATCTGTCAGGGGCATGCGGCAAGCATGGGGATCTGTGAGGGGCATGCGGCAAGTATGGGGATCTGTGAGGGGCATGCGGCAAGCATGGGGATCTGTGAGGGGCATGCGGCAAGCATGGGGATCTGTGAGGGGCATGCGGCAAGCATGTGGATCTGTGAGGGGCATGCGGCAAGCATGGGGATCTGTGAGGGGCATGCGGCAAGCATGGGGATCTGTGAGGGGCATGCGGCAAGCATGGGGATCTGTGAGGGGCATGCGGCAAGCATGGGGATCTGTGAGGGGCATGCGGCAAGCATGGGGATCTGTGAGGGGCATGCGGCAAGCATGGGGATCTGTGAGGGGCATGCGGCAAGCATGGGGATCTGTGAGGGGCATGCGGCAAGCATGGGGATCTGTGAGGGGCATGCGGCAAGCATGGGGATCTGTGAGGGGCATGCGGCAAGCATGGGGATCTGTGAGGGGCATGCGGCAAGCATGGGGATCTGTGAGGGGAGGGGCATGCGGCAAGCATGGGGATCTGTGAGGGGCATGCGGCAAGCATGGGGATCTGTGAGGGGCATGCGGCAAGCATGGGGATCTGTGAGGGGCATGCGGCAAGCATGGGGATCTGTGAGGGGCATGCGGCAAGCATGGGGATCTGTGAGGGGCATGCGGCAAGCATGGGGATCTGTGAGGGGCATGCGGCAAGCATGGGGATCTGTGAGGGGCATGCGGCAAGCATGGGGATCTGTGAGGGGCATGCGGCAAGCATGGGGATCTGTGAGGGGCATGCGGCACGCATGGGGATCTGTGAGGGGCATGCGGCAAGCATGGGGATCTGTGAGGGGCATGCGGCACGCATGGGGATCTGTGAGGGGCATGCGGCAAGCATGGGGATCTGTGAGGGGCATGCGGCAAGCATGGGGATCTGTGAGGGGCATGCGGCAAGCATGGGGATCTGTGAGGGGCATGCGGCAAGCATGGGGATCTGTGAGGGGCATGCGGCAAGCATGGGGATCTGTGAGGGGCATGCGGCAAGCATGGGGATCTGTGAGGGGCATGCGGCAAGCATGGGGATCTGTGAGGGGCATGCGGCAAGCATGGGGATCTGTGAGGGGCATGCGGCAAGCATGGGGATCTGTGAGGGGCATGCGGCAAGCATGGGGATCTGTGAGGGGCATGCGGCAAGCATGGGGATCTGTGAGGGGCATGCGGCACAGGAAGAAAAAGAAGGCTGGCGATTACGGGGGGATTCTGTCATGTGGAAAATAAGGTTCAAGGGAGAGACGTGTGGTGAGAGCAGAGTTTGCAAAGGGTAGACTGGTGCCTGGCTCAAGTGCCAGCAGAGTGTAGGGGGCGCAGACATACGCACCAGTGGGTGCGCGGCGTGCCTGTAAGAGTGTCAGAGTGGGCAGACACAGCTGCGGTAGCAGCAGCAGCAGTAGCAGAGGAGGAGTGAAGCAACGCTGAGCTTAGGCGCAACCACACGAGGAGGACTGGAACCGTCCACAACTCCAACCCCCCATACCTGGCACCCCTTTCTCGACCTCCTGCCCTCCTCCCTCTCCACCCTGCCCGCCCCCATGCGCATGGAGATCGAGGGGGCCGGCAGCTTGACCGCGCTGTGAGCGCTTGTGTCTGTCTTTTGAGCCGAATAAAAAATCTCCCTCTCCCCCACCCTGGCCGTGGAGGTTAGGCGGACGAGCACGAGGGCCGGCAGCTTGTCCGCGCTGTCAGCGCCGCTGTCGTCCGCGCACCCCTGATTTTGCAGGGTGTTTTTGAGAATTCTCAAAAGCACCCCTTTCCCCCCGCTTCCCCCCCCTGCACCCGCGCCCTTGCAATTTTTCCTCACGTCGCGCCCGCGGTAGAGCAGCAGGCGGGTGGCCCGAGCGGAGGAGCCCTTTCTCGCCCTGCACCCGCGCCCTTGCCTGACGGGGCTTCCGTGGCCGCAGTAGCCGCAGTGCCTGGCGTGGCGCGATTTCCTTCAACTGAAGCCACGTTCAACGTGAGCGATTAGGGCAGCTTGCAAGGTCAGAGCCCGCGTAGACTTGCAATCCCAGCGCAGTGAGCGCTGATGAGTTCTCTTCGAGCGGAACTGGCGCTCGTGGCTGGTCGCGAAATCTGGAGCCGACGGAGTAACGAATTCGAGTCAACAGCGATATCGGGTTACCATGTACTTGAACGAAACAACCTCTCAATGCCGATTTGCTGAAAAGAAGTCACGCGTGGTGACACCGCGCACAGATCTTATCACGGCTGCCTAAGTGATAATCACTTCTATTTCTCCTCTACGCGTACAGTACCTAGGAACTTCTTAGCCTTCTGGGCCGAACATTTCAGACTGGGAGGAGTGAAGCAAACCGGCCAACTGACATTTCAGGTGCATCCGCGATAACGAGTGGCCCGAGTGAATGAGACGAACCGAAATGTTATAGCTGTGCTCATTCCCCTGCACGAAAATTTTGAGATTGGTGCTTTTGCTTGCTGTCGTTAGCGCGGGTTGCATTTCAGTTTGGCGGGGGGCGGGGCGGGGATTTCGCGGCATCGTGCTCCGCCCCGCAGGAGCGCCAAGTTGGTAGTTCTAGCAGGGTTGGGTAGGGCTTGTTACTGTCATGTACAGGTAACTGTGCGCCGCCATGCATGTCTAGCACAATTGAAGGCCATTTTATAAGCACAAATACAACATTCCAAGTTGTATTGCACATATATCCAATTGGCGCTCAATATGGTACATTTGAGCACCATATTTCTTACTTTCCAAGGTTGCCACCAAGCGTTTGACACCCCCCCAATAGTCTTGAGGTGAACTCCCAGGCGACAACAGCACCAGCATTTGCCGGGAGGGCGCAGGAGTGTGGCTGCGCACTAGAGCGGCACAGAACCCCCTCACCTGATGCCACTCTCCTTGAGTGGTACCGTACCAGTCGGCACCCAGAAGACACCCGCTAAGCATTTGACACCCCCAGGAGTCTGGAGGTGAGCTCCCAGGCAACAACAGCCGCAGCGTTGGCCGGGAAGGCGCGGGAGAGCGTGGGCACGAGACCGGCATAGAACCCCCGGATGCCACTCTCCCTCAGAATCTGATGCAGGCGGGGAGGCGCATGGGCAGCGGTGCGGGTAACCACATGTGAGACAACAGCAACAATGACACGTGGAGCATGGATCAGAGCAGGGCAGCGAGACCGGCACAGAACCCCCGGATGCCACTCTCCTTTAAGGCCTGAAACGGGCGGGGAGGCGCATGGAGTGCAGGGTAGAGACACGCCAAGAAGCGCGAGGGGAGTGACAGTGCAGGAAGCACGGCAGCTCAGAGCACTCACCGCTTTGCACTGGCTGAGCATGCGCAGCGAGGCTGGCGATGCCGAGGCGTCTGCCGTCTGGATGCGCGTCTTGATCACGTCAAAGGGCAGCACTGCCGACCAGAACTGATGGGGGGGAGGGGAAAACACAGACGCAACATTAGAGGGGGGGAAAGCAGAACGTGAAGCAGCAGAAGGAGCATCTAACGAGTTGAAAAACCAGGGTTGTGCCCCCAGGAAGAACCTCAAAGACAGTATGTGGAAGGAGTTCAAGACACAGAAGATGAAGAGGCGAGAAAGTTGTTAGAGAATTCTAAAAAATCTCTCAGAAGGAGATCAAGAGACAGAGCATGAAGAGGCGAGAAAGAGGGTCTTCTCTACTCTCACTCACCACGATGCCGGCTATTCCGCCACTGGCGATGGCCGTAGCAGCCTCAGCCGCTACTCTCTGCCACTCGCTCATCCCGCCTGCCCCTGAAGCACCCCCTTCCCGTCCCCCCTCCGCTCCCCCTCCCATCGCCGTGGTCAAGTCTAGTCTGCTGAGGCCCTCACTGCTGCTGCTGCTCTCAGCACTGCTCTGCCGGCTCCCAGCCCCCATCGCATTCCCCTCCCCCTCTCCTCTCGCGCTCTCAAGCATTGCGAGATCTGAGAAGGACGAAGGAGAGGCGTGGTGGGAGGGTGGTGTGCGAGTGTGGGAGTGAGTGAGCGCCGGCAGCAATCGATGTTTGATTGCTTCATACGTGAGGAAGAAGCACACGTTTCCCAGCGACTCGCGCCACGCCGTTGCTGCCAGGCCACGGAACAACCCCTGCGGCTGTGCGGAGGAAAATGAGGCAACGGATAGGGGGGAAAGGAGGAGAATGAAGCGGGGGGAGGGGTGGGGGAGAAGGCTAAGAAGCAATTATAAACCACCTAAATTCACACTTTGTAAGCCATGCCCTCACATTCACTCTTGAGCTCATAGCCACTCCCTCAGACAAGCCTTACCCCATTGGTCTTGACCGTCTGTACAACGCAGTCCCAAGGCCCCTTGTAGTGACCCGCACCCGCTAACACCCGCTGCGGCAGCTGCAAATGCTGCGGCTGGGAATGCTGCTGCGAGCGAATCTGCTGAGACACTGCTGCTGCTGCTGCTGACCGTGCTAGGGAAGGGAAGGCAGAGCTAGCGGCAAAGGGAGTGGTGGCAGCAGTGGCGGGATGGTGAGCGGCAGCAGCGAACGAAGGGGTTAGGTGAGCCATGGCAGGGGCGCGTTTAGAAGCAGCAGCTGCAGCTGCTGGCGCTGTTGCTCCTGCTGCTGCTGCTGTTGATATGGAAGCGGCAGGGGTGAGAGCCGGGGTCTTGGCTTGCACTTGAAGGCGACACTGCACCAAGCGGGCACACATACACACATACACGCACGCACGCACGCACGCACGGAGGCAGAGCAAAGATGGTGAAAGGCATTTCTAATGTGACGAGCATGAGGCGCGTTTGGCCGCTCAACGGGAGACACACAACAGGCCCAGCGGCTCAGTGGCTAAAGTGGCTAAGTGGGGCAATGGGGCAGAGCGCCTTGGCATTTGCACTACAGTCTCACCTTAACGACCTCTGTGCGGCAGAGCACTCTCTGTTATGTCTCTCACCTTGACGAGCTCCGTGGGGCAGAGCACGAAGCTGATGAGTCCACCTGCCAGCCCTGCTGCCGTCGCCACCGTGCCTGCGCTGGGGGCTGACCGCTCCCCGCCCTGAATGAAAAGGCAGGAGAGGCAGGGGGGAGAAGGAAGAGGGAGTGAGCCGTGTTTCAACTGCCAACGAGCCCGCCTGCCAGCCCTGCTGCCGTCGCCACTGTGCCTGCGCTGAGAGCCCAGCGATCTCCGCCCTGAGTAGTGGCGGGGGAATAGAGGGGAGGGAGAGGAAGCCATGTGCGCAGGACGCCCATGAAGGACCGCTTGAGGAAGGAAGTGCAAGTTGCCTGCTGGCTTTGATTATGGGCCCACTGTTGCCTCCGCTTCTGTTTGCAGCCTCGAATGCAAAGGTCCCTGACGCAATACTGCTTCTCACCCACATAAAGGTGTGTAGGTACCCGCAGGGCTGTCTTTAGTTGAGTGTAGTTACCTGCAGGGCTGTCTTTATTTGAGTGTAGGAGCCGAACAGCAGGGAGCTCTCAACCGCCACACCCACGAATGATGACGTGGCACCACGGTATAGGCCAGGGATCTGAGGGACGAAGGCAGCGGGAAACGGCAGGGAGCAAGGGCAGGGAGCAACGCAAGCGCGAATGCACCTAGTGGTGTTAAGGCGCATTCAAGGCGGGCTTGAGCCTGCTGTGTGGTCAATGCTTGAATGCGCCTGGCGAGGCTTATAACGAGAAAGCGTTCGATGTCCTTCTAACAAAAGAGATTGCTGATACGAAAGGACGTGCTTATAACGAAGGGCCCGTCCGCCTCACCCCTTCGGTGCGGAGAATGTGCGACGTGCACTGCCACGCCGAGCGATACTGGGGCGCCCCTAGCGACGCTGGCGACGCGGCGTTGCTGGCTTGCAGCTTGACCTGCGGGTGTGGGGCGGGCGGGGAAGGAAGGGGCGGGGAAGGGGGCGATGGGGAAGGAAGGGGCGAAGGGGAAGGGGCGGGGAGGAAAGGGTGAGAGGGAGAAGAGGGATGAGAAGGGAGAGGTGGGAATGGGCGGGTGGCTATAGGAACAGAAGGAGTCTATTTTTGAGGCACCTCAAGAGGGACAAGAGGGATGAGAAGGGAGAGGTGGGAATGGGTGGGTGGCTAGAGGAGAGGAAGGAAGGGAAGGAACGCGAGAGAAGCATGAAAATCGGCACACGTCACGTGAATCCTAACTGGGAGCTCTTACAGCCGTCAGATCCGCACCTTGACGGTATCGAACGGATGGCCGGTGACGACGAGAGCCACGCCAGCGGCGACGCCTGCAGTGAAATCCTTCACAGCGGCGAAGTCGTTGTGAGGAGTGGCGAAATTATCGCTTGCTGGTAACCTCGCTGCTACGCCTTCCTCCGGCCGCATTGTCCGATGCGATCTCAGCCGTTGATCTCTAAGGCCACAGACTGATGCGAGAGAGGCGATTAATCCGCGGTACTAATTGCTGCGTTAACGACCTTCTCGATCGCAATGCACTCTACAGGGATTAGAACAAGGACTAGAAATGGCAGCACACGAACCGATTTTATTTCCGAGGCACCTTAAGAATAAGACTCGAGGTGGTAGCACAGGAGCTGGAAAGCAAGCGTCGACAACTGAGGTCGAGCTGAAAGCTAATCATCAAGCGGGAGCCGAGCCGATCTTAGCGAGCCGAGAGACCGCTTCGAAAGCTGTGGGCTGTTCACTACTGTGTCCGCAAGGATCGGCTCTCTCTGGGTCCTGTCTACTATTATATGGCGTTCTGCACGGAATAGCGGGAATGCGCGGAGCGGAGGCTTTGAGCTGCGCGCTGCCGCGGAAAGCGGAGGCGACCCCGCGGAAAATCTCCAAGCCTGCCGTGCCGTGCGCTACCATCGGACCCACACCGGAACTTTGGGCATGGTGCATTCGCTACACTGAGAAAGTTATAGCTCGTCACCGCACTCCACCGTTTATTTATGTACCAAATCGTACTAGTCCTGAAATAGCGAACTCCGAGGGTCCCTCCGAAGAGAACGAGATTGTTGTTGGGGGCAGGGGGCGGGGACGGACACCATGCCACGGGCATCCCCGATATGGAGAAGGCCACCTGCAATTGACAGGACGGTAAAGAGCCAGATTCAAAACATTGCGTACGGAAAAGTACAGCATGAACATCGCATTATTGCAGGCTCCTCTTTATCGCGGTTGCAAATGGAATGTGTGGTTGGTTGCCTCCCCGACTGCTGCCAGTCAAGTCAGTCGGTTTTTGCAGCTCGCTCACACACCGCCACTAGGCCAGTATGCCAGTGAAAGAAAAGGTAGTTCACTATGGCCATGGCTTGCCGTGATTAGGTCTGCTCGCCGTGTGATTACCCGTCACTATTTTCCAGCAAATCGGCGTCCCTAATCACACGTCAGCTCCAACCTCCGCGATAAGTGCAGCCATGAGCGCGAGCTCCGCTCGAATATAGCTCATTCAGCTTCCACTACGAGAGTTCCAGGTCTCGTTTCGAAGCTAACACTGATTGCTGGTAACGCGATCCTTCACTGTAGCATTGGTAGCACTCTCCACCGTTCTCCGCCGTTCTCCACCGTTCAGCATTCGCTGCCGCCATCATGAAGGCCAGCGCGGCCAGCAGTCGCGGGGCGGCGCGCTTATGGACGGCCGCGGGATCGTCGCCGCGCGGCGGATCCATGCGAGGGATTGGCGAAGCGTCGCAGACGTCGCGTTCGCGAAAGGGCAAGAAGAGTCGCTCGCTCGTGCGACGCCTCCTGAAGTGCCGCTTCCAGACCTTCATCCTCTGCGTCGTTCTGGTCCGTCCGATCGCTGCCTGCTCGTGGCCGTCCGATCGTCGCCTTTCATCCCTCTTTTTCTACGCAGGCCCCTTCCATTCCGCTATCGCCTTCTTTTCCCCTATTCCCGCACTCCATCTTGCTCACGTGTGCGTCCCTATGCAACGGCCAGCTTACCCGCCTGTCTCGCGCTCGCTCTCTCCGTCTTCTCACCATTCGGGGTCTGCCCACCTTACCCTCCTCTCCACGTGCTCCTGCTCTGCCACAGCTACTTCGTCGCTTAGCCGCATTGTCCTGGCTTTAAGTAAGCCCGGCCCCCCCTCTCCCCCCCCCCCCTATCTGCACCTCCCTCCCCCCTCCCCCCCTCCTCCTCTCCACACCTACCCTCTCCCTCCCATGCCATCAGGTGGTGCTGTGCAGCGCGCTTGTGTTTCTCTTCGTGGTCGACAAGTTCCCTTTCTCCATGGGGGCTAAAGACGCCGCTGCTGCTGCCGCTGCCACAGACGACCTTGTAAGCTGCTTGTGGACGCTGTGGGCGCCTTGTGGGCGCTGTGGGCTCCTTGTGGTCGCTGTGGGTTCCTCTCGTGTTCCTATTCACCCTCGTGTTTCTCTTTGCGGTCGACAAGCTCTCCACTCCCTCGCATTGCCTTTTTCCACAGCCCGGTGCACCTTCTCCCCCCTAAACTTGTTCCCCGTGACCCATCATCTCTCCCTTAGATGTGAACTTACACGCCTCGTTTTCTCTCCTATCCACATTTCCCTCGCCAGTCCACGTCAGCAGCAGAGACGAAGCCGTCCCACGTGGCAATGGATCTGAGCGCACATGGCAAGCACCAGGAGACGGCCAGGATACTCACAGGGGAAGGGGACGGCATTGGGACAGATAGCAAGGGCAATAAGGGCGGCAAAAGCAGTAAGGGCGCCAAGGGTGGTAAGGGTGGCAAGGATAGCAAGGGCGGAAAGGGGAAGGAAGATGGCAAGAAGGCGGCGCAGGGGAAGGATGCCAAAGGGGGGAAGGACACAGCGAAGGCCGGTGCTGCTGGCAGTGGTGGCAGTCACCCAGGAGGGGCTAAGCCGGCGAGCCCGAAGCAGCAGCAACAGCAGCATAAGGCGAATGAGGCGAAGGGAAAGGGGCACCCAGCGGGGAAGCAGCAGGGCAAGGCCCCGGGGAAGAAGGCTCCTGAAAGCAAGTCGCCTGGAGGGAAGGCACCTGGGGGGAGAGCAGCAGGTGGTAAAGCGCCTGGCGGGAAGGCTCCAGGGGGGAAAGCAGCGGCTGCCACGGCCACGCCAAAGCAAGTGGGGAAGGTGCAGGCAGGGGTGCATCCAGCCAAGCGTGCCGCGGCTCATGCTGGGGGGAAGGCAGCCGCAGTGGTGCCCAAGGGAAAGGTGCACCCAGCTCCTAAGCAGGAGAAGGCAGCAGGAGGAGCCAAGGGTAAAGGTGGGGGGGCTGTTGCGGCAGGGAAGCAGGGTGGTAAAGGGAAGGGAGCAGTGCCGGCTACTGGGAAGCTACGAGGGGTTGTTGCTGACCCCAAGAAAGGAGGAAAGGTGCAGAAGAGTTAGAATGAGAGGTTTTGCAATGTCCATAGCGCATGGGCGTGGGTTTTTATTTTTATGAGATGTACTTGCCATAGCTTATGTAGGTGTGATTAGGGTTAGGCCCTTCTGTTGTCTCTAAAAGATCACTTCTGCAATCTGGTACCGTCTCAGCTATATGGCATGCAGATACAGCGCGTGCGCGTTAGTGGCACCACCGTTCTCTCCCTGGCAACAGAAAATGCCGCTTCACGAATCACCCCCCCTGCGACAACAGCGAGGCTCGTTCCTTCCCCAGTTCCAGCCACACTCGTTGCTTCTTACTGAGCTCGCCGCCATGGCGAAGGGAAAGGGCGGCGCGATTCTGGTGAAGTTGCTGTCGGCGGCGGGGACGGGCTTCTTCTACGTGACCAAGAAGAATCCGCGCAACCTGCCGCACAAGCTCGAGTTCCGCAAGTACGACCCGCGCGTGCAGAAACACGTGCTCTTCACCGAGACCAAGCTGCGATAGGAGATTCCCAATGGACAGGGACGAGGTTCCGGCCGGCTTGCGTGTGCTGTTCACCGAGACCAAGCTTCGCTATTAGATTAATCGTCGCTGCCGGGTCGCGTGGCTGTGATTGTAACGAGGGATTAGACTGTATCCGTGCTGTGCGGGGCTGTTGCTGCGAAGAATTGCCTGACTGACACTTTACGAACTAGCGTTTGGCCTTGTAACGGAGCATTATCAATCCATCTTGTATCGCGTCTGTCGTAAATCTGTTGGTGAAATCGAGCACTCGGTCGGTCCGTAGGGCTGTAGCAGCGTCAATCGATTCGTTTAGACTAACTCGTTACGAGCCCCCCTCGCCCACTCTAAACGCAGCCTGTCGAGCCCCTCTCACCGCTCTGAACGCGTACACACCGGACCATTATTCACGGCGTCGAGCCTGTCAGCGACATACCCGCGGACCGTTATTCACTTGACTGTCTCCCCTGGCCTCGCGATCGTAGACAGCCGTCAATCGCCGTCAGTCGCCTTCAGTCGCCGTCAATCTCTGGCCGTCAATCGCTGACCGTCAATCTGTGGCCGTCAATCGCTGGCCGTCAATCGCTGGCCGTCAATCGCTGGCCGTCAATCGCTGACCGTCAATCTCTGGCCGTCAATCGCTGGCCGTCAATCGCTGGCCGTGAATCGCGCCGTGAGCCGTGAGGGGCGGCGATGGACTTCCAGGAGCTGGAGGCGGCGGAGGGTGTGCGCTTCTCGTGGAACGTGTGGCCCGCCACGCGCCTCGACGCCACGCGATGCGTCGTGCCGTTCGGCGCTATCTTCACGCCGCTGGCGGACATTCCAGACTTACAGGTGGGTCTCGTTAGCCTCATTACAGGCGGGTCTCGTTAGCAGCCCCATTACAGGTAGGTCCCATTACCCTCATCACATGTGGGTGCGATCGGTGCCATGCGTGCTCGCTTGAGGGGCTGTGCCTCTCGTGGATCGTGTGGCCCACCACCCGCCTACACGCAGCCAGATGCGTCGTGCCGTTCGGCGCTGTCTTCATGTCGCTGGTGGACATTCCGGATCTGCAGGTGGGTTCCTGCGCCATTCTCGCCGTGTTGCCCGTCCACCCACCCGCACTGTGCTGCCACCCGCTGACGCCACTGGACGCCACGCCATGCGATGCGTCGTTCGTTTTGGCGGTATCTTCACCCCCCTGGCAGACATCCCGGACCTGCACTGCACGTGCGCCGTGTGTCAAGTCTACTCATCTGCTCGCCCATGCATGCATGCGTGCGCGCATGTGTCCAGTGCGTGTGCATCCCTTCCCCATGCGCACCTACCCATGTGTGCGTCGTCCATATTCACCAACCCCCCCCCCCTGGCGGGCATTCCCAACCTCCAGGTCGTTCCGCATCCGCCACTGCTGTGCTGGGCGTGGGGGGCAGTGCTCAACCAGTACTGCCCTTCGCATCTCTCTACCCTAACTCTGCTCTACCCCTGTGTGCAATGTTTCCCCATTCCCCAATCCCCAATCCCCAATCCCCAATCCCCAATCCCCAATCCCCATTCCCCAATCCCCATTCCCCATTCCCCATTCCCCATTCCCCATTCCCCAATCCCCAATCCCCATTCCCCATTCCCCATTCCCCATTCCCCATTCCCCATTCCCCAATCCCCAATCCCAAATCCCCAATCCCCATTCCCCAATCCCCATTCCCCAATCCCCATTCCCCATTCCCCATTCCCCAATCCCCAATCCCCAATCCCCATTCCCCATTCCCCATTCCCCATTCCCCATTCCCCATTCCCCATTCCCCATTCCCCATTCCCCATTCCTCATTCCCCATTCCCCAATCCCCCACTGCAGCTGGTTCCGCATCCGCCGCTACTGTGCAAGGCTTGTGGCGCAGCACTCAACCCGTACTGCGCTCTCCAGTTCGGCAGCAGGAGCTGGGCGTGCTCGCTGTGCCAGCAGGTCCGTTGGGTTGCGATGGAGTGGGAGGGAATTCAGAAGTGGTAGGTTAACTGTAGGTGGGGGTGAGGGGGTAAGCGCTCAACCCGTGCTGCGCGCTGCAATTTTGGCTGCAGGACGGGTTGAGAGGGAAGCTGTTTGAGTGGTGGGGTTGCGTGAGTAATCGCACGATGAGGAGGTACAAGGACTGGACTGCCTTCGCGTGCCTCTCCCCTCCCACCCGACTCCACCTCCTCCCTTGCTCTTTTCCCCATGCTCTCTCCCCTCCTTTCCCTGAGCTGCCTTGAGGCGCCTCACAACATCTTTCGCCCTTATAACCCTTGCCCTTTCGCATTGCCCATGCATGAGTGAGGAGCCTATTTTTGAGGCGCCTCAATTATAACCCTTGCCCTTTCCCATTGCGCATGCATGACCAGAGGAACCTCTTCCCGCCCAACTATAGAGACATAAGTGAGACCAACCTGCCCATCGAGCTGTCGCCCAGCCTCAGCACCATCGAGTTCCTGCTGCCGCACGCCGCCACGCCGTACGCACTTCGTTTTTGTTTCCCTTGAATTTAGCACGCCTTGAAGGCATTTGCCCCAGCCTCCGCGCCATCGAGTTCCTGCTTCCGCACGCCGCCACGCCGTACGCACGCTCGCTCCTTCCGTTTCCTCCTCGTGTTTTAACAGCATTTTTGGCCAGCCTCAGCACCAGCCGGTTGAGGCGGCGGAGCCTCAGCCTCCTGCAGCACGGAACATAGACTCGAACATAGACTTGCCACTCCGAACGCACCCTCTCCTCTCTTCTCCTCCACTCCCGTGTTGATTGTCACGTGCTTCAAAGCTCTCCGACTTAGCCTCAGCACCATCGTTTTTGTATCTCTTGTCCTCCACCCTCTTGTCATCGACTGCCCACCACCCACTGCCCAGCGCCCAGCGCCCAGCGCCCAGCGCCCAGCGCCCAGCGCCCAGCGCCCAGCGCCCAGCGCCCAGCGCCCAGCGCCCACCTCCCACCATCCACCGCCCACCGCCCACCGACTGCCCAGCGCCCAGCGCCCAGCGCCCAGCGCCCAGCGCCCAGCGCCCAGCGCCCAGCGCCCAGCGCCCAGCGCCCAGCGCCCAGCGCCCACCGCCCTCCGCCCACCGCCCACCGTACACCGCCCACCGCCCACTGCCCACCGCCCACCGCCCACCGCCCACCGTACACCGCCCACCGCCCACTGCCCACCGCCCACCGCCCACCACCCACTGACTGCCCACCGCCCACCGCCCACCGCCCACCGTCCACCGCCCACCGCCCACCGCCCAACGCCCACCGCCCACCGCCCACCGCCCACCGCCCACCTCCCACCGCCCACCACCCACTGTCCACCGCCCACCGACCACCCACCGCCCACCGCCCACCGCCCACCGCCCACTGTCCACCGCCCACCGCCCACCGCCCACCGCCCACCGCCCACAGCCCACCGCCCACCACCCACCGCCCACCGACCACCGCCCACCGCCCAACGCCCACCGCCCACCGCCAACCGCCTACTGCCCACCGCCCACCGCCCACCGCCCACCGCCCACCGCCCACCGCCCACCGCCCACCGCCCACAGCCCACCGCCCACCGCCCACCGCCCACCACCCTCCGCCCACCGCCCACCGCCCACCGTACACCGCCCACCGCCCACTGCCCACCGCCCACCGCCCACCGACTGCCCACCGCCCACCGCCCACCGCCCACTGACGGCCCACCGACTGCCCACCGCCGACTGCCCACCGCCCACCGTCCACCGCCCACCGTCCACCGCCCACCGTACACCGCCCACCAGCCACTGCCCACCGCCCACCACCCACCGCCCACCGACTGCCCACCGCCCACCGCCCACCGCCCACTGACGGCCCACCGACTGCCCATCGCCCACCGCCCACCGCCCACCGACTGCCCACCGACTGCCCACCGCCCACCGTCCACCGCCCACCGCCCACCGCCCACCGCCCACCGCCCACCGCCCACCGCCCACCGCCCACCGCCCACCTCCCACCGCCCACCGCCCACTGTCCACCGCCCACCCACCGCCCACCGCCCACCGCCCACCGCCCACTGTCCACCGCCCACCGCCCACCGCCCACCGCCCACAGCCCACCGCCCACCACACACCGCCCACTGCCCACCGCCCACCGCCCAACGCCCACCGCCCACCGCCCACCGCCCACCGCCCACTGCCCACCGCCCACCGCCCACCGCCCACCGCCCACCACCCACCGCCCACCGCCCACCGCCCACCGCCCACCACCCTCCGCCCACCGCCCACCGCCCACCGCCCACCTTACACCGCCCACCGCCCACTGCCCACTGCCCACCGCCCACCGACTGCCCACCGCCCACCGCCCACCGCCCACTGTCCACCGCCCACCGCCCACCGCCCACCGCCCATCGACTGCCCACCGCCCACCGCCCACCGCCCACCGCCGGCCGCCAACCGCCCATCGCCTGCCCACCGCCCACCGCCCACCTCCCACTGCCCACGGCTCACCGTCCACCGCCCACCGCCCACCGCCCACCGCCCACCGCCCACCGCCCACCGCCCACCGCCCACCGCCCACTGACCACCGCCCACCACCCACCGCCCACCACCCACTGCCCACCGCCCACCGACTACCCACCGACTGCCCACCGCCCACCGCCCACCGTCCACCGCCCACCGGCCACTGCCCAGTGCCCACCGCCCACCGCCCACCGCCCACCGACTGCCCACCGCCCACCGCCCACTGACGGCCCACCGATTGCCCACCGCCCACCGCCCACCGCCCACCGCCCACCGACTGCCCACCGACTGCCCACCGCCCACCGTCCACCGCCCACCGCCCACCGCCCACTGACTGCCCACCGCCCACCGCCCACCGCCCACCGCCCACTGACGGCCCACCGACTGCCCACCGCCCACCGCCCACCGCCCACCGCCCACCGACTGCCCACCGACTGCCCACCGCCCACCGCCCACCGCCCACCGCCCATCGACTGCCCACCGCCCACCGCCCACCGCCCACCGCCGGCCGCCAACCGCCCATCGACTGCCCACCGCCCACCGCCCACCGCCCACTGCCCACTGCCCACTGCCCACCGCCTACCGCCCACCGACTGCCCACCGCCCTCCGCCCACCGCCCACTGTCCACCGCCCACCGTCCACCGCCCACCGCCCACCGCCCACCGCCCACCTCCCACCGCCGGCCGCCAACCACCCATCGACTGCCCACCGCCCACCGTACACCATCCACCGCCCACCGCCCACCGCCCACCGCCCTGCGCCCACCGCCCACCGCCCACCGTCCACCGCCCACCGACTGCCCACCGACCACCGCCCACCTCCCACCGCCCACCGTACACCGCCCACCGCCCACTGCCCACCGCCCACCGCCCACCGCCCACCGACTGCCCACCGCCCACCGCCCGCCGCCCACTGTCCACCACCCACCGCCCACCGCCCAACGCCCACTGCCCACTGTTCACCGTCCACTGCCCACCGCCCACCGCCCACCGCCCACCGCCCACCGCCCACTGCCCACCGCCCACCGCCCACCGTACACCGCCCACAGCCCACAGCCCACCGCCCACCGCCCACCGCCCACAGCCCACCGCCCACCGCCCACCGCCCACCGCCCACCGCCCACCGCCCACCGACTGCCCACCGACTGCCCACCGCCCACCGTCCACCGCCCACCGCCCACCGCCCACCACCCACCGCCCACCGCCCACCACCCACCGCCCACCGCCCACCGCCCACCTCCCACCGCCCACCGCCCACCGCCCACCGCCCTCCGCCCACCGCCCACCGTACACTGCCCACCGCCCACCGCCCACCGCCCACCGCCCACCGTCCACCGCCCACCGCCCACCATACACCGCCCACCGCCCACCGTACACCGCCCACCGCCCACTGCCCACCGCCCACTGCCCACCGCCCACCGCCCACTGACCACCGCCCACCACCCACCGCCCACCGCCCACAGCCCACCGTACACCGCCCACCCCCCACCGCCCACCGCCCACCGTACACCGCCCACGGCCCACGGCCCACGGCCCACCGCCCACCGACTGCCCACCGACTGCCCACCGCCCACCGTCCACCGCCCACCGCCCACCGCCCACCACCCACCGCCCACCGCCCACAGCCCACCGCCCACCGTACACCGCCCACCGCCCACCGCGCACCGCCCACCGTACACCGCCCACCGCCCACCGCCCACCGCCCACAGCCCACCGCCCACCGTACACCGCCCACCGCCCACGGCCCACGGCCCACCGTACACCGCCCACGGCCCATGGCCCACGGCCCACCGCCCACCGACTGCCCACCGACTGCCCACCGCCCACCGTCCACCGCCCACCGCCCACCGCCCACCACCCACCGCCCACCGCCCACCGCCCACCGCCCACCGCCCACCGCCCACCGCCCACCGCCCACTGCCCACCGCCCACCGCCCACCGCCCACCGTACACCGCCCACCGCCCACTGCCCACCGCCCACCGCCCACCGCCCACCGACTGCCCACCGCCCACCGCCCACCGTCCACCGCCCACCGCCCACTGCCCACCGCCCACCGCCCACCGCCCACCGCCCACCGCCCACTGTACACCGCCCACCGCCCACCGTCCACCGCCCACCGTCCACCGCCCACCGCCCACCGCCCACCGTCCACCGCCCACCGACTGCCCACCGCCCACCGCCCACCGCCCACCGCCCACCGCCCACCGTACACCGCCCACCGCCCACCGTCCACCGCCCACCGTCCACCGCCCTCCGCCCACCGCCCACCGCCCACCGCCCACCGCCCACCGCCCACCGCCCACCGCCCACTGTCCACCACCCACTGCCCACCGCCGGCCGCCAACCGCCCATCGACCGCCCACCGCCCACCGCCCACTGCCCACTGTTCACCGTCCACTGCCCACCGCCCACCGCCCACCGCCCACCGCCCATCGCCCACCGCCCACCGTACACCGCCCACAGCCCACAGCCCACCGCCCACCGCCCACCGCCCACCGCCCACCGCCCACCGCCCACCACCCACCGCCCACCGCCCACCGCCACCACCCACCGCCCACCGCCCACCGCCCACCTCCCACCGCCCACCGCCCACCACCCACCGCCCACCGCCCACCGCCCACCTCCCACCGCCCACCGCCCACCGCCCACCGCCCTCCGCCCACCGCCCACCGTCCACCGCCCACCGCCTACCGTCCACTGCCCACCGCCCTCCGCCCACCGCCCACCGCCCACCGCCCACCGTCCACCGCCCACCGACTGCCCACCGCCCACCGCCCACCGCCCACCGTACACCGCCCACCCCCCACCGTCCACCGCCCACCGTCCACCGCCCTCCGCCCACCGCCCACCGCCCACCGCCCACCGCCCACCGCCCACCGCCCACCGCCCACTGTCCACCGCCCACTGCCCACCGCCGGCCGCCAACCGCCCATCGACCGCCCACCGCCCACCGCCCACCGCCCACTGTGAGAATCTGAAGTGATGATTGTATTAGGAAAGGAGTGGGTATACATAGGTGAGGAGTAGGAGGGAGGGGGGGGGGTGGTTTTGGTTGGGAGGTGACCACGATTATTGGTGACCCCAATAAGTTGAGTTGGCCAACTTATTGGGGGTCCAATAATCCTAGCCAAGATTATTGGTGGGTCCAATAATCTTGGTTGGGATTATTGGGGGTTCCAATAATTGGGAGCCCAACCAATTTGGGAACCCAACAAGGTTGGGAACCCAACCCCCAACTTGGGTGTATACACCCTAGTGGGGTGCTTATAAGTTCCTAAGACAATGAAACGATGTAGGCTAATAGAATGAAGGGAGAATAGTCTAACACCGCTCACCGCCCACCGCCCACCGTCCACCGCCCATCGTCCACCGTCCACCGCCCACCGCCCACCGTCTAAATCCCATCGACTGCCCACCGCCCACCGCCCACCGCCCACTGCCCACTGCCCACCGGCCACTGCCCACCGCCCACCGTTTACTGTCCACCGTCCACCGCCCACCGGCCACCGCCCTCCGCCCTCCGCCCATCGACTGTCCACAACCCACCGCCCACCGCCCACCATCCACGGTCCACCGTCCACCGCCCACCGCCCACGGCCCACTGTCCCCCATCCACCGGTGGACGCCGCCCACTGCGCACCGCCCTCCGCCCACCGCCCACCGCACACCGCCCACCGCCCACCGTCCACAGCCCACCGTCCACCGCCCACCGCTCACCGCCCACCGTCTACCGTCCTCCGTCCACCGTCCACCGTCCACCGTCCAACGCCCACCGTCTACTGTCTACCGTCCACCGTCCACCGCCCACTGCCCACCGCCCACCGCTCACCGCCCACCGTCCATCTTCCCTCACATCACGTATAGTCAGAGTTGTTGTGACTGCTGCCGCTGCTGCCCGTCACCCGCCCTATTGGTCTCATCATTGTGACCCGCCCCATTGGTCTCATCACTGTGCCCCGCCCCATGGGTCTCATCACTGTGCCCCGCCCCATGGGTCTCATCACTGTGCCCCGCCCCATGGGTCTCATCACTGTGCCCCGCCCCATGGGTCTCATCACTGTGCCCCGCCCCATGGGTCTCATCACTGTGCCCCGCCCCATGGGTCTCATCACTGTGCCCCGCCCCATGGGTCTCATCACTGTGCCCCGCCCCATGGGTCTCATCACTGTGCCCCGCCCCATGGGTCTCATCACTGTGCCCCGCCCCATGGGTCTCATCACTGTGCCCCGCCCCATGGGTCTCATCACTGTGCCCCGCCCCATGGGTCTCATCACTGTGCCCCGCCCCATGGGTCTCATCACTGTGCCCCGCCCCATGGGTCTCATCACTGTGCCCCGCCCCATGGGTCTCATCACTGTGCCCCGCCCCATGGGTCTCATCACTGTGCCCCGCCCCATGGGTCTCATCACTGTGCCCCGCCCCATGGGTCTCATCACTGTGCCCCGCCCCATGGGTCTCATCACTGTGCCCCGCCCCATGGGTCTCATCACTGTGCCCCGCCCCATGGGTCTCATCACTGTGCCCCGCCCCATAGGTCTCATCCCACTGGCCTTGAGTGATTTTTCTCCCTCTCCCCCCCTCTGCCCCCTCCCTCCAGCCAGTCCGCGTTCCAATTCGTGCTGGATCCGTGTGTGCTTTCCAACGAGCTGCACCACTTGATGGCAGCCCTGCTGCTGCCTTCGCCGACTCCTGTCCCTTCGCCCCTTTCACCCCCGCTCTGCCCCTCCAGCCAGCCTGCATTCCTGGTTCTCCTGGAGGCAGGCGTGCCCCCTGATATGCTCCATCACATGAAGGCACTTTTGAGTCGACTCAAAAGTCTGATGTGCTCCATCACATGAAGGCACCCCTGCTGCCCCTGCTGCCGCTGCTGCCCACCGCCTGCCAGCCAAAGCTTGCTTTCCCCTCCCACCCCCCCTGCCTGCCTCTCACATCCGCTCCCCAGCCAGCCCGCATTCTTATTCGTGCTGGACACGCGTATCCCAGCGGTCGAACTGCCCCACATGAAGGCGGCCCTGCTGCGCCTTCTGCCAGCCACCTGCCCTATGGCTTATCACAGTGACCTGCCCCCCTTCTGCCCTCTTGCCCCCGCCAGCCAGCCTGCGTTCCTGTTTCTCCTGGACACATGCGTGCCCGCCGACGAGCTGCACCACATGAAGGCGGCCCTGCTGCGTCTGCTGCCGCTGCTGCCCGTCACCTGCCCCATAGGGCTCATCACCGTGGGCGCACAGGTGGCCGTGCATGAGCTCTCTCACTCACTCCCTCACTCGGCCTCTCACTCGCTCCCTCACTCAACCTCTCACTCACTCTCGCACTCGCCCCTGTCGTCGCGTGTGGTGCTGCTGCCGGGTGAGAAGGACCTGTCTGCCAGCAAGATTAAGCAGCTTCTAGGACTGCCCGTCCCTCGTTCCCCATACCCACCACCATCCTCATCGTCCAAGGGCGCCCACAGCAGCACCCACACCCTTTTAGCAGTGTACGAACCTCCAGTGCACACGAACGCCCCTGGCAAAGCGCCCTTCGCTGGCGGCTCATCCTCGCCCAAGGGCCCGTTGTCACCACCGCGGCCTATGCCGTCCTACCACCCATCATCTGGCCACGTGTCACCACCATCATTGGTTACCCTATCGTCCATATCATCAGCATCAGCATCCCTACCGCCACCACTAACATCATCGGCATCCCCCCCACCATCGCTGGTTCTGGGCGGCACATGGGGCGCGGATGGGCGGTACCTGGTGCCTTTAGTGGAGGGTGAGGCGGTGCTGCGCGGTGTCATAGGGGCGTTGCAGCCGGACTCTCAACACGTGATGCCTGGATGTAGGTGAGAGCAGCGGGCCTCAGACTTACGGGAGGGGCGGATGGGCGGTTCCTGGTGCCGCTGGTGGTGGAAGGGGAGGGGGTGCTGAGGGGGGGGTCATACAGTCGCTGCCGCCAGACTCGCAGCACGTGCCAACGGGGTGAAGGTACGAGCAATGGGACTCTGGTGAAATTTGACGGGGGGGCGGATGGGCGGTACCTGGTGTACCTGGTGGGATGGGATGTGGGTGCTGCGCGGTATCATACAGTCTTTGGTAGCTGACTTGCAGCATTTGCCGCCTGGATTCAGCCAAGTGGGGTACTAATTGTGCTGTGCGTTTCTATTTGTGGTCGGAATTTGCGCTATGCTGGGTGTAAACCGTGCCGTCCCTCCCGACACCCTCTCTCGAACGGTCCTTCATTGCTGGAAAACCCTGGGTACAGGCGAGACATATAAGGTGGGTGCAAGCAAGTGTGATACTTCTGGCCGAGCTTCTAGCCTATGGCTATTCCCTAGGGTGCTATGATGGCGAAGCAGTCCCCTAGGGACATGCCCGCCTCAGGCGCACCGAGGGGTGGCCACTCGAGTGGCGAGGCCTCGTTCACCTTCCCGAGGTAGGTGAGAGCTTGTCCCCTCTGGAGGGTGACGGACCAGCGCTGGCGGAACTGGCTTAGCAGTTTCGCCGCCTGGTAGGAGCTGGGGTCGGCGTTGAAAAGGCGGCGGGCTGCCGTGTGTGCCAGGAGTTTAAGGAAAGTTGGCACCTCGGCACAAGGGCAGCCGTACGTCTCGACCGCGAGTGGGAAGAATCCGACGTATGCTGCCCTATGGCGGTAGTCGTCGATCTTCTTATCGGCCTACTCCCGGGCCATATATCCCCGCCCCTTGCACGCCAGCGGGTCCCGTGAGCTTACTGGGTCGGTGACGGTGACATCACAGATCCAGACCGCCCCTGAGTCCCGGTCGCGAACGGCCAGGTCAGCGGTCTTGCCGTCGACAGGGCTGTAAATCGAGGTCTCCTTGGTGACTATGAGCTGCGCGTCCCTCCCCATGCGAATGCATTCGTCTCGAAGGGCATTGTGTGTGTCGGTGCGGCCGTGCCTAGTCCCACATCGAAAGAGGTGATTAGGGAGACGTGGGTCCTCAATTGCCACCCTCCTGGCGCAGTTGCAGACCCTGGGTGCAGGGAACGGGAGGCCCATACGAAAGGCCAGGGCTATGGCGTTGTGCGGGGGCGCGAGCCGGAGCGAGGGGAATAGGGGGATGGCGAGGAGCCAGTCGCCGGCGCCATACCCGGTGAGTGAGAGAAGCCTCTGAGTGTGGCCGCTGAGGGGGTTGAGTTCCATCTCTCTTGAGGCGGCCAGCTGGCGGGCGAAGCGGGCTGCGTGCACCTCCAGGGCCAGCCGATGCTGTAGAGGTTCATCAGAGGCATCGGCCCGCTCGTCCTGCAGGAGCGCCAAGGCCGGGGCTGGGAGGGACTCCTCCCACTCCGTCAGCCAGGAGTGGAGGGGGGTCGGGCTGTTAAATGGGGAGGCCAGGGAGCATGCTGCTGCTGCGAGTGGACCGGCCGGGTCCGATGGGAGGGATACCAATAGCCGGTGGGCCTGTGTGACGCTGGTGAGGAAGGCGTGCTGGCCCTCCACTGCGGGGTCTGTGAGGCCTAAGCCGCCAAGGGAGGGGGGCAGAGAGGCCTGTTGCCACGTGCGCGACAGTTCCTGCTCTCCCCGTGGGAGCTGGAGATGGCACGACTGGAGCAGGGTGTGGAAGAGCTCCTGGCCCCACCGAGACCATTCCTCGGCGGGCAGCAGATTGAGAGGGGTGGTGCGGGTGAGGTAGGACACTCGTTGCGAGACGCAGCGGTGGAGGAGGAGGCCGGCGGTTTGGGGGTCCATGTTTGCCAGGGCGGGCAGCGGTTTGGCCATGTCGGCCAGTTGCTCCCGAAGGAAGGCGGCCGTTGCCTCGGGGGGGCCGATGTGGCTCCCGAGGACGCGCAGCCCGTCAGCGCTGAGGGGGATGCCGGGTGGGAGCATGGAGTTGGGAGGCCGGGAGGCCGACCAGGCCGTGCACTTAGAGGGGTTGTGCGTGAGGCCCAAGGGGCGTAGGGCCTCTGTGAGGTGTGTGAACGCCGCCGCGCATGCCGACGGCTCTCCGAGTAGCGTGATGTCGTCGGCGTACGCGAGGCAGAGGACGCTCGGGAAGGCCGAGGCTGTCGCTTGGAGCGCCGGGTGCAAGGCTGCTGCAAAGAGCAGGGGACCCATCGGGTCCCCCTGTCTAACTCCTCGGGCACTGAGAAGTGGCCCGCTGTTGAAGTCTGCGTCGAGGTGGAGGCGAGATGGGGCGCCGTACGAGAGCTGGACGAAGGGGAGCAGTGGACGGAGGGGTGAGTTGAAGAGCCCTGCGACTATTGCGGCCCGATCGACGCTGTTGAAGGCGTTCGATAGGTCGACTTGGAGTACAAGGGCAGCGGGGAATTCGGTTGTGTAGGCGCGCGCAGCATGGATGATCGCCTCGCCGCCTGCTCGCACTGCTACCCCGAACTGCAGAGGTAAGAAGTGGGTATGCGCCTGCTCCGTCATGGTGAGAAGGCCCGCCTTCGCCACGAGGCGATGCAGGCATTCGCCTATGGCGATGGGTCGCGTGCCGCCCCCGGGCTTAGGAAAAGCGATGAGGCGGCTGGCAGTGAGGAGGGATGCGATTTCGGGGGTGGAGTCCCCTTTTAGCAGGCGGATTGCGAGCTCGTACAGTCTGCTGGCCACCGTTCCGTTGGCGAGGGCAGCCTCGTGAATGTGCTCGAAACACATTCCTGAAGGCCCTGCGCCCACCCCGTTCTCGCAACGGCTGAGTAACCGGATGAACTCAGCTTGCGAGAATGTGGGGCTCGTTTCCGATCCGTCGAGAACGGGCCAGGCGATTGACTCAGTCAGCGGGGCGGGGTGCTTGGACTTCAACGCTTCGAGGACGTCGGGGGTTGAAGCGCTGACTGGTGTTGCATCAAGTGCCAGTAGGGCACGCCTGAGACTGCCACGGCGGACAAGCCCTTCCGCTCGTGTTTGCCTGCCGATGGAGTCTGCCATGTGGCGAGGTGCGGGGGGGTTATTCACGGCGTCGATTGCTGACAGGTACAGCAATTGCCAGTCGCCCGCCAGGAACTGCTGCAGTCGCCTCTCCACTGCGGCCCAATCAGGGTGCTTGGGCGAATGCAGGCGAAGGGTTAGGCGAGGGACGAAAAGAAACAGACGCCAACCAGCGAGGCTGGTTGGCCTGTGAGCGATATGGAGTAGAGGTGTCAGGAGCGCCAGAGCGAAGAGCTGGCGAAGTTTGGGAGGGATCCTGCGGGAAATCGGGGGTTGGCGACTGTCGCACAGCAGGTCGATGTCCCATCCCGCCACCCCGGCGAACAGAGTTTCGTTGGAGGACAGCTCCTCTGGTGAAAATTGCCGCTGTGTCTGGGTCGGCTGCGTGTCACTGGCACGGGTGTTACGCGCAGTTGGCCGGTTTCCCGGCCCTGAGCTGGGGTCATTTCGCGTCGTCCCCCGGGCCGCCTGGGCGGGAGAGGCCTGCGGTACCTGAGCGGTCCGGGTGCCAGCAGGTCCTCGTCCGCGAGATCTGGGAGATGGGGATGGATTCCCGCCTCGTCGACGAGGTGGTGCCCGTTCTTCCAATGTATCAGTGGACTCCTCTGTGGTTGATTCGTGGAGCACCTCCGGTATATAGGTGCTGCACCCTCTCTCTCTCTCTCTTCTTCCCCGCATCTCCATGCAGGCCGCGCCGAGCCATAGGCGCAGCTCTGGCCGCCGCCGTAGCTGTGATGGAGGTTCGGGGGGAGCTGGTACGGGAGGAGGGAGGGAGGGCGGCAGATGGGGCAGGGTGGGCGTTCAAGCAGGAGGGGAGGGCGGCAGGGGATGGGAGGGGGGCATCGGAGGAGAGGGCGGGGGGGGCCAGGAGGGAAGGGGAGAGAGCGTTGGAGTCGGGAGGGCGCGTGGTGGTGCTGCTGGGAGGGCCGTGCACGGTGGGGCCGGGCATGGTGGTGGGCAGTGACATGGCGGACTGCCTGCGGACGCACTCCGACATCCTCCTCGACAACACCACCTACTACCAGTCAGTACCCAAACTTCTTGCTTTTACTCCGTACAAAGCTACTCAGTGCTGGGAGGGCCGGGCACGGTGGGGCCGGGTGGGCACTGACATGGCGGACTGCCTGCGGACGCACTCCGACATCCTCCTCGACAACACCACCTACTACCAGTCAGTACCCAAACTTCTTGCTTTTACTCCGTACAAAGCTACTCAGTGCTGGGAGGGCCGGGCACGGTGGGGCCGGGTGGGCACTGACATGGCGGACTGCCTGCGGACGCACTACCAGTCAGCATCAACGCTCAAGCTTATCCTCAGTCAGTACTGCTACGTCCAAGGCTACTCTGTGCTGGGAAGGCCAGGCGGGCATGGTGGTGGGAGGGCCGTGCACAGTGGAGCCGGGCATGGTGGTGGGCAGCGGCTTGGTGGTGGTCGGTCCCATGGGTACCCTGCTTGGGAACTCCACTGTCCACATAGCACCAGTCAGTCGCTTGCTTCTATTCCCAGCTACGGTAGCGGGCAACAGAGGTGCTGGCAGCCGTCGGCGCGTTGCATGTCTCACGCGTTCTCCTGCTTTCGACTTTTGATCTCTTTCCCCCAACAGTCGAGCCACGCGCTTCTACTCCCATCTGGGCAAGCGAGCAGCAGAGGTGTCGGCGGCCATAGACGTGTTTGCGTGTGCGGCGGACCAAGTGGGGGTGGCGGACCATTCATTGAAGCATGTGTTTCTTGCTCTCTCCTCTCCCGCCTCAACAGCCGAGCCACACGCTTCTACTCCCAGCTAGGGGAGCGCGCAGCAGAGGTGTCGGCGGCCATAGATGTGTTTGCGTGTGCGGCGGACCAGGTGGGCGTGGCCGAGATGCGGGGCGCCATCGAGGCGACAAGTGGCACGCTCGTATTGGCCGAGTCGTTTGAGTCTGACATCTTTGCCAAGTCGCTGTGCAAGCTGTTCCAGCGCTCAGAGGCAGTAAGTCGGGGCGTGCAGAGAGTTGGGGCTAGTGGGTTAACACGTAGCATGCCATGGCATATGTATTTTTGAGGCGCCTCAAAAATAGGCTGTAAGTTGTGGTGCGCACTGAGTTGGGGCTAGTGGGTTAGCACGTAGCAAGCATGCCACGCCATGGCATATGTGGCACACACGATGTGCGAGCTGTTCCAGCGCTCGCACGAGGTGAGTGGTGCTGTGCGGTTCATAAATCAAATGTGAGGCAGCTCTTATGTTCAATGCTGTGGGCCACGAAACCCGGATCCATGCCTGTTCTGTTCTCCTGTGAGAATTGTAGAAAATGATTCCTCTGTTCTCCTCATGTACGATTTCTCTACTTCCCTCCCTCCCTTCTCTCCCCTCCCTCCCTTCTCTTCCCTCCCTCCGTTCTCTTCCCTCCATCTCCTCCTCTCCCCTCCTCTCCCCGCATCTCCCTCCCATTCCCTTCATCCATCCCCGTTACAGGGCCATCTGCTAGCAGGCACAGACGGGGTAGTAGAGGTGAAGCTACCCAGGGAGGTCAAGGTGATGGGGGCGGTGGGGGCGTGTGGCAACCTGTGGCGCAAGGGGGCGGGAGTGAGCGAGCATGAGGTGGGGCAAGGGGGCACGGCTGCCTGGCGCCTCTGCTCCCTCTCCCCCCGCTCCTCCTCCCTCGCCTTCTTTTTCGAGATCGCCCCACCAAGATCGCACCAGATTCCTGATGGCTCATTCGCCTTCTTCCAGGTGCGTTGCTCAGGGAAGGTTGTTTCTGGTAGGGGAGATGGCATCTCTCCCTCTGCTCGCTCTCCCCCCGCTCCTCCTCCCCCGCCCTCTTCTTTGAACTCGCCCTGCCCCGATTGCACCAAGTCCCTCTGGGCTCCTTTGCATTCCTCCAAGTGCGGTCTTGAGCGCTGGGCGTGGCCATGGGAGCAAGGCGATGGGTGCACATGGGGGGGTGGTTTGGAGTCAGCTCAGTGTCCCTCTCCCCTGTTCCCTCCACATAAACACGTGTATTCTTCCCGGAAGCAGTTCCTCACCACGTACCGCCACGGGGACGGCAGCAGAAGAGTGCGGGTCGCCACAGCAGCCAGGCGATGGGTACACATGGGAGGGGAGGGGCAGGGGGGCGGTGGCGCTGATAGGGGGGATGCTGGGGGGATGGCGCAGGGGGAGGGGGAGCTGGTGGTGGGGGGGGTGCCAGGGGGGAGTGCTGCTGCTGCACTCTTGGAAGTGGTGATGGGGTTCGACCAGGAGGCTGCTGCTGCTCTCGTTGCCAAGCTGGCTGCTTTCAAGGTGGGAAGTTGCTCTGTGCCTTGTATTGTGGGAGGGGGATGAAGGTACTCTAGGACTGTTGTTGACTTGATGCTGTGTGAAGCGAGGTATGGTGTGGTGGCATGTGTGGCTGCAGCGCTGGTTGAAGTGGTGATGGGATTCGACCAGGAGGCGGCTGCTGCGCTCATGGCAAAACTAGCTGCTTTCAAGGTGGGCGTTCTTCTATGGCCAATATTGTGGGATGGGAAACAAGGTAGTGTGGCATTGGCATGGCTGCAGTTTGGTTGAAGTGGTGATGGGTTTCGACCAGGAGGCTGCTGCTGCCCGGGTGGCAAAACTAGCTGCATTCAAGGGCTGTCAAGGTAGGTGGTTGCAGCTTGCATGTGCCGCATTACTTGGTCCGCAGCTTATCTGCTACCGTGTGGTGCTTCCCTGATTCTGCTGCCCTTTATGCCAGGCAAGGTCAGAGACTCAGGGGACATGAGTGGCGTGCTGCGCTGGCTGGGCGCATGCTCATCCACGTTCACGTGCTTCTGTCCATGTGTTGGTGTACTTGTGTGCCGGGTTTCCCTGTATGCCATGCTGCTGCTCGCCCCCACGCCAGGCGGAGTCAGAGGACATGAGTGGCATGCTGCGCTGCCTGGACTGCATGCTCATCCGCTTTCATGTGGTGTTGCTGTGCGTTGCTGTGTGTTGCTGTTTGCTGCTGTGTGTTGCTTTGTGCTGCTGTGTGTTGCTTTGTGCTGCTGTGTGTTGCTTTGTGCTGCTTCCCTGCATGTGATACCTCTGTATGCCAGGCGGAGTCGGAGGACATGAGTGACGTGCTGCGCTGGCTGGACCGCATGCTCATCCGCTTTGGAGCCAAGTTTGGGCAGTACAGCCGGGGCGACCCCTCCTCCTTCCACCTCTCCTCCGCCGTCTCTCTCTTCCCCCAGTTCATGTTCCACCTGCGCCGCTCCAGCTTCCTCCAGGTGAGCGTTTGAGGCGCTTCAAAGCACCTGCGTTACCAGGCACGAAAAGAAGCACAGGCAGTGTGAGGTTGTGGGGTTATGTGATGTTCCATGCAATGGTGTGGCTGTGGCTGGCCGGCCGGCACCTTGATGTTGCCTGAATTTCAACTCCCCGTCCTCTGCATCCTAACTAATGTTCTCTTGTGTCTCTTTGTGTGTTTGCATGTGTGTTTGCATGTGTGTTTGCATGTGCGTGTGCGTGTGTGGGTGGCAACAGGTGTTCAACCACAGCCCCGATGAGACGGCCTTCTTCCGCCTCATGCTCACTCGGGAAGCCGTTACCAACTCCCTCCTCATGGTTCAGGTATGTGCTGTGCCTTCTCCCTTCTAGTCGACTCAAACCGTTCAAACTCTTTCCTCCTTGTGCGCTTATTTCTACGCTCTCTCTATTTTGCCTCCTTATGTCAATGACGTATCCTGGCCTTCGCCTCCCATCCCCCTCACTGCAGCCCACCCTGATCGCAAACACCTTTGATGCATCCCGCACCCGGTGCTGCTGGAGGTGTCATCCCTCCAGCCAGACTGTGTGCTGCTGTGCGATGGGCTCTTGTTTTGTTTCCCCACCCCCCTCTCTGCCCCTACCTCCCTCCTGCAGCCCACCCTGATGACATATACCTTTGACTCGCCGCCGTATCCTGTGCTGCTGGACGTGCCATCCCTGCAGCCCGACTGTGTGCTGCTGTACGACGAGTTCTTGTGTTACTCCCCCCCCCCACCACCCCCCTCTCTGCCCCTACCTCCCCCCTGCAGCCCACCCTGATCGCATACACGTTTGACGCACCGCCGCACCCAGTGCTGCTGGATGTGTCATCCCTGCAGCCGGACTGTGTGCTGCTGTACGATGGGTTCTTCCACGTCGTGGTGCTGCACGGCTCCACCATCGTGCACTGGAAGCACCAGGGTTTCCACCTCGACCCAGCCCACGCAGCCTTCAGGTATGCTCCCCTTGCTGCTGAATCATGCTTCTCATTCCTTGTTTATAAACTTCCCTAATATCTCCATTAGGAAGTATCCGTGTTTTGATGCTGTGACTTGCCCGTGTGTTTCTAGTACGGTAAGAAGCTGTGTGGTTACAGCTTTCGTGTTGCTTCTTATCTTCTTGCAGGAAACTTTTGGAGCTGCCCATGGAAGATGCGTTTGCCCTGGCCAGAGAGAGAATGCCCGAGCCCAGAATCATGGAGTGTGAGCAGGGAAGCAGTCAGTCACGATTCCTGACCTCTCGGCTCAACCCATCAACAACCCATACAAGTTCCAACATTCCTTCCTCTCCATCGTTTGTAGAGGAGGCGACGCATTCTCAGCAGTACATTTTCACCGATGATGTCAGCTTAGAGACGTTTTCACAACACTTGCAGCGCCTTGCTGTACAATAATGCATGTACAGCTGTTGGAAAAGCAATGCAGGCTGATCTGTAGAGCAGAATAATCAGTTCAGAAAGGTAAAACAAAAGAATATGAACAGTGAACTGCTACCGTAGAGCATGAACAGCACCCAAACAGCCCTCACACGGAGATGCAGAACAGTTTGAAGAATTTGGGCCTCTTCCGCTTGGCTGAAGCCAGCTCTGTGACCTGCTTCTCCAAGTCTTTGATCTTCTCACCAGCAGCTACCAAAGCCTTAGGATCTGCTTCAGGCATCTGCAAATGAACAATACAGTACCAGTGTTAGAAAGTGAAATGTGTCCGTGAAGCAAAATCCCAGAGTAATCTGAAGGACAAGATACCTTCATGGCAGAGTCTGGCAAGGACAGGTCCTTCACCATGCCTCTCAGCTTGGTCATCTCCAGATCCTGCCACGTGGCCGTTTCCCTCACTCGCGCCAGCTCCATGTCCTTCTGCTCCAGCTGCGACTTCAGCTCGGTATTCGCCGTCCTCGCGGCTTCCAACGCCGTCTCGAGCTGAAGATGCTTCTGGCCACTCAATTCCGGGTGAGGAATGCTGTCGATGACGCCAGAGTTGAGTCCAGCGGTTCCGAGGGAGAACTGGTCGGTTTCAGGGGTTGAAACGCCTGTGACTCCCTTCTCCGCGGACGAGCCGCCAGTGCTGCACTTGCCGATATTCCCGAGCGCGTCGGGATGGCTGTCCGCCGATTCGTTGGACGAATCACGCTCAGCGTGCTGCGGATTCTCCAGGCCCTTCGTTTGCGACGAATCAGCATCATAAACGTTTAGATCCTCGGATTGCTTTGGTCGAAATTGCGACTCAGCGGCTCCGGTGGTTAACGAAGCGGAGGTGTCGTGCTGACTGCTCGCGGATATGGATTCTTCAAGATCCGTCTTCTCCCGCTTGAGTCTTTCCACATGCAGCTGAAAAATTTCAAGCTCATTCTGACATAGAGCGAGCCGCTCTGCTTGCTTCCCTAGCCGCTTCTGATAGCTGTCGTCGATACCTGCAAGGTCTTTCTGCAGCGCCAGGCATGTGCTCTCTGATTTCGCAAGGGCGGTTCGAACTTTCTCTAACTCGGCCTTGAGCGATTTATTCTCCGATGCTAGCGATTTGTTCTCTTCTGCTAAGCCCATCTGTGAACCTTCGCGGGCGTGAGCACTCCTACCGGTAAGCTAGAACTGACAGACGAAAGCCCACCTAATCCTGGTGTAATGGTGAACCGTAATTCCCTGGTGACAATTCCTTGGACGGGTGCGCTCTTCTGTCAAACAACAGCCTACGGTTTGTGTTTGTGTGGAGTGCAACAATCCCAGTTTCGTGTGTGACAATCCCAATGCCTTCCCATTCCTTGCCATGCCATGCCATGGTCCCGTCGACACCCTGATTTCTGACACCCTTGGAATCATTGAGGTGATTCCCGAGCAGTTTCACACGCCTGGGATGAGGGGTCCCAGCCCAGGCCTCCCCTAACCATACCACCTGCCATGATTCTGTTCCCGCCAAAATTCAACCTAGCACAGCTGTGTCCTTCACGTTGACTCGCGAACGCGGTTCCGATAGAAGTGTGTTAGTGCCTTTGATAAGTACACCCATGTGATCGATTAAATAGCTCGTGTTAGAGTTTGTTTGTTTTACAATCACTGAAGTTTGGTTCAGGTTTGTAATGTCGCACAAAGAGCGAGCCCCGTCGAACGTGGGTTTCTGAGGCAAGCGACTTGTTGGGCTGAGAAAAGCCCTATGATCTTTTCAGAGACTAAATCCCTACTTGTATGAAATGCTTGAATAGTGCAGCGGAAGTGTTGAGTAGTTGAACCCTTGCACTAGTATGCGAGAGCAAGTGATTGATTAGAAGAAACAAGCATACAACAATATATAGAAAATAGGAAATGAAGTAGTTGTACAGTACAGTTGAAGAAATAGTTATCGAGTCGCACAGCGACTCGATTGTCTGTTCAGTTACCATCCTTGCAGTCGCAACGGTCAATCGCAACCTCCGGTTGCGACCCTTCGAGTCCCTTCGCCCATTCGTATTCTTTCGTCCAACCTTCTCGTGTAACCTCCGTTGACTCGCGTACCCGATACGACTTTCCTCGAGTGTAGTGTTACACTTCAGAAACGCTGAAGTCTTCGAGGTATTTCCAACACTCCCCTTCGTTTCTGGAGTGCTGACGTGTCCGGATTCGGTGGCATTTATCTGCCCGGTCAGCAGCATGCAGTAATCGAACTTTGCCTTCGCCAGTTTCTTCGTCAGGTAATCTGCAACCAATTCTGTCGTGGGGCAGTACAGTAATTGAGTTGAAGTCTCCCCTTCGCGATCTCATCCTTGACGAAGAAATACCGCAGGGCGATCTGCTTGCTTCGATTAGCGAACCCGTTTTGTTCGCGATTTTAATCGCGGATTGGTTGTCGCAGAATAATGAGAATGTGGGCATGGTCGCAATTTTCGCTTCCTCGAGCAGCTCCCGCAGGTAAAGTCCCTCTTTGGTCGCAGAGCAGAGAGCGATGTATTCCGCTTCAGCCGAGGATAGCGCGATTAATTCCTGCTTGCTCGATTGCCAGGAAATAGTCCCGATAGGCTCTAGTCGGTAGATGTAGCCTGTTCTGGAACGCCGATTTTCCTTGTCTCCCGCGTGGTCGGCGTCGACATAGCCGAGTAGTTGTACGGACGTTGGTGTTACTTTGCTGTAGGTGAGTCCGACTGTCGGCGTAGAGACAAAGTAGAGCAGTGCCCGATTCAGCTCCTCGAGATGCTCTTGCTCCGGCTGCTTTAGGTGTGTCGCTATTTGGCTAGCGCTGTAGCACAGATCCGGTCGGCAGGTTACTTCTGCGAACAGGAGGCAGCCGAGCTTCTGTTGGTATTCCTGGATTTGCTTAGTGGGGAGCTTCGCGGAGGTGTCGCTGTTGTCGTTCCCGTAGCGATAGGGAGTTGCGGCTGCGATCGGCGTTAGTCCGAATTTCTTCGCGTCGATGAAACCGTGGGGCTGCTCAACGAAGATCTCAGTGTCCACAGTTGCGTACAAGAAGGCGTTGGCGACGTCGATCTGCCGCAGTGGTAACTTTTTCGTGGCTGCGACGGCGAGTAGAATGCGCAGGGAAGTAGTGACGGAAACAATTGTCCGGATGTTTTGCATTAACTAGGGTTTTTGGGCTTTCCGACCACTGTACATTAAGTTTTAATGTTTAATGGTGGTACGCTTTGGGAGGGGCACATAGTGAATGTATTCACAATGCTGAAATCCATAATACTACACTGGATCTAACTTAGTGCCAAAAGATATACAAAGAGTACATCTGGACAATTGATTCCCAGGACAAAGAGCAAACTTCAGAGCTTCGTTTCTAGTACATATTCCATCGACCCTTGGCCTTGATCACCACCCGCACCCTCCTAGGCATGTTATCTAGGAGGTTAGTGCAAACCTTTGCCGGGATCTTCTCGCACTCTTCCTGCACCCAACCTTTTGCATAAGGGGGTGAGCACTAGGAAAATCACGAAGGATCTGAGCGTATGCAAGAGTATTGTGCATGATTTCTAATTCAATGTGATCTATTAGACTAGCCATGCTAACGTGTGACCAAAGATGCCATTAGCCGATTGGTCCCGTCTTTTCATGGGTCGTCTCCGTCGTAGGGTTGTAGGGTAAAACCACAAACAGAGCAGCGAAAACTAGAGTATACGTTGAGAAACCGTGGCATGGTCGATTGTGCACCATTGAACTATTAGAATCACGCTAGGATCCATAGGTCTCGTCATGGTGCAGCAGTCGAAGAAGTCGCGACTGTTCGGGAAGAATGCTTGAGGTGAGGTCTGGTGAGGAAAAGGGTCACTCCAACGCAACATACTCATGGCTCTCCAAGCCATTCCAAGCCAATTGTCCCGCCTAGGCATGGAATGGCTTGGAGTGCGTGAGTATGTAGCACTTGAGTGATCCTCCTTCTCACCAGACCTCAACCCGGATATTCTTCCCCACCAGTCAGAGCTTCTTCGACTGCTGCACCTTGACGAGGCCGATGGATTTTAACGTGATTGTAATAGAGAAAGAGTGCACAGTCAACCGTGCTATGTTACCCTAAGTTTCGCGGCGGATAAACTAGTTTTCGCCACTCTGTTCATAATTTTACCCTACAACGGTACGACGAAGACAACCCATGAAAAGATGGGACCAATCAGCTAATGACATCTTTGGTCACACCTCAGCTTGACAAGTCTAATAGATCACATTCAATAGGAGATCGTGCACAATACTCTTGCATATGCATATATCCTTCGCAATTTTCCTGGTGCTCACCCCCTTATGCAAAAGGGTGGGTGTAGGAAGAGTGCGAGAAGATCCTTGTAAAGGTTTGCACTAACCACATATATAGCATGCCTAGGAGGGTGCGGGTGGTGATTAAGGCAAAGGGTCGATGGACTAGGTACTAGAAACGATGTTCAAAATTTTGCTCTTTGTTATGGGAAACAATTGTCCGGATGTACTCTTTGTATATCTTTTGGCACTAAGTTAGATCCAGTGTACGATTATGGATTTTAGCGTTGTGACTACATCCACTATGTGCCCCTCCCAAAGCGTACCACCACTAAACATTAAGACTTTATGTACAGTGGTCGAAAAGCAAGAAATCCTAGTGAATGCAAAATATCTGGAAAATTGTTTCCGTCACTGTATGTCGGGAGACTGGGGCGAATGTCTCCGTGTAGTCGGTTCCGTATCGCTGATCGAATCCACGTACGACCCAGCGAGCTTTGAAGCGGTCGATGGAGCCATCCGCGTTAGTTTTGATTCGGTATACCCACTTCCCCAAGAGCACATTCCGCCCGTTGGTCTTTGTTGCAGGGACTAGTTTCCATGTGTTTCGGTCTTGCAGGGCCTTCAGTTCCTTTTCCATTGCTTCCTTCCATTTCGCCTTGTGTTCCCCCCCCAGAGCCTGCGACAGAGTCGTTGGCTCGCGCGGTGACGGCGGCGGCGGGCTCTGGACGGCGACCCATAGTCCAAGTATCTGCAGGCCCGTGGGTGTGTGTCGAGTGGAATCTTCATTCCCGGGATAAGCTGCTTCGTCGCCATCTTCAGGGTCAGGTAAGAAATTTGGTCCGATGCGTTCAGAGACATTTGTGTCAACCGTTTGAGGTATAGTGTAGCCCTGGTCAGCGAAGTGGTAGAAGGTGTCGAGGTTGTTACTATCGAGAGGGTTGTCGTCGTCAAGTGGAACGGGCACGGAGCAGTAAGGGAGTGGTCCGGCAGCTTCTGAGGCTTCAGGTACGTCTTCTTCTGCTGCGTCAGCTTCGGCAGCACCGTCGGCGAAGGACCGATGGCCCTCGAAGTCGTCGGTGGGTCTGCGGTGTGGGTGACGTTGTCCAGGTAATGCTGCAGCGTCAGTCTCTCGTAGAAAATCACATCACGTGAGGCCACGGTGGTTTTGTCATGGATGTCGAGAAGTTTCCACGCGTAAAATGTTTTGTGATGCCGAGGTGTAGTCCCCACCGTGCTCGTTGAGAAAATCGTCCTGCTCGAGCTGTGTGGGGTCGGTACTGTACCATGCAGCCGAAGACTCGAAGTAATTTTGTGCTGCCCAGTTTTCCTGTCCACAGCAGGTGTGGTGAAGCGCTGTTGGGAAGTGATGACGAGGACAGTAAGTTGTGGAGGTGGACTGCATGCGTCATCGCGTCAGGCCAAAGGGTGTTGGGCAGTCTCATCCCCAGAAGCAACTTCCGCATCGTCGTCTGCAAGGTGCGGTTCATCCTCTCTGCGACCCCCTGCTGCTGGTGGGCGTAGGGCAGGGACACCAGGCATTTGATGCCTCTTTCTGCCAAGTAGCTCTTGAACCTTTGTGACTGATACTCCAGTGCCCCGTCTGACTGGAAACTCTTGAGTTGGGAGCCTGATTCTCGTTCAGCGATGGGGAGCCACGTCGTGAAGGCTTCGAACGCTTGGTCACGAGTCTTGAGGTTGAAGTGCCAGACGTATCGTGTGGCTGCGTCAATGAACGTGATGACGTAGTTGTACTCGGCTTCACTGTCGTCTCGAGGCATGTTCAAAATATCGCTGTAAACTTTTTTCCATCAGTGCGTATGCAGGTGCGCTTGGATTGTGGTGAGACGGGAAAGGTTGATGGGGAAGATCAGCTTCGGGGCACATGAAGCATCGTGCGCGAGGTCGTCGAAGCTCTTGGCCACTTGATGTGAGGAGAGCATCCTTTTCTAATACTCCAGCTTGTATGGTTTGAAGAAAAGTGCTGTTTGCAGAGTGCCCAAGTCGTTGATGCCAGTTGGAGTACCAGAA